CTGGTCACGGAACGGAACAGCAGAAACGCGAGCAGACTAGGTAGTTTTCGGCAATGCTATTTTTATTTCATTAATTAATTATATATTGGCGCGGCCAAACAGTATCGATTCAATATTGAAGATTCGATTCTACAATTTTGACACGATACAGATAAATCGGTCGTGCATGACGTTTCTCCATCCGCACTTTAGCTCAATGTTGTTCTTCCAAGATTCAATAACTACTCAAAGGTCCACCTCTTACTTGACACACACAATATACACACAATACACTCATTATATTTGAAAAATCACCAGCATGAAGTCATCATCGATTAATATCCTTCTTCTAGTAGCAATCCTCTTTTGCAGTGAGGTGAGCTCCCAAAGTATGTTGCAACACTTTGCTCGTGCTCTTCGAGGAAAGCACGGTCATCATGGTCATCATCATGGAGAAAACTTTAAGAACAAGCATCATCATCAACATCATCATGGAAAAGACCATGAACACAAACATGACGAAGATATGATGATGATGATGCATCAAGATCACCAACACCATGGTGGTAAAGGTGACATTATGGGAGCTTCTCCTCCCACTAGTAGTACTTCCAACCTTCGTGGTGGTGCTGGGCGATCCTCTTGGTGGGCATCCTCCTCGTCTTCTAGCTCGAGCAGTTCATCCTCTTCTTCTTCTTCTTCATCATCATCTTCCAGCAGCAGCAGCAGCAGCCAATCATCTCCTAGCAGTGATGAAGAAGAAGAAGAAGAAGTCTCCACAACTTCTGGCAGTAACAGTAGCAGTGATGACAATGGTGAAGGCATCAATGTTGTCCAAGAAGAGATTCCTTCTCTCAATGAAGGAGAAGAAGAGGAAGATAACCATGAGATTGACGTGGTAGATACCGAAGAAGGCGAGGATTCTCAAGAAGAAATAGAAGAAGAAGCGGTCACAATGCAAGAGGACGATGCTGTGGGATCCATTGTGGAGGAGGGTGTTGAAATCATGGAAGAAACTCTGGAAGAAGTCATGGAAGACTTGGACGAAGTGATTGAAGAAACTAGAACCGAATCCATCGAAGACGAAGACGAAGAAGAAAAGCAGGCAAATCAAGGCATGGACGACTACGTGTACGCGGAACCGGTATTGGTGCGTGAGGACAAAGAAACCAACAACATGGTGGAGGTGGATCAAAAACGCATTTTCGCCAAATTTCTTGGTATCCCCTAAACATCGGCAACATGCGCAACGTGAAAACAAATCATCATCATAAGAGTTCCTACGTTTCTTGTCTTCGCTCACTTTTGAAGCAAGCCACCACAAGCCACTCATGCATCTGCGACTGCTGCTGCAATGACCGAGTCAGTCTGTATGAATAATGTATAAGATATAAAAATAAGTACTATTAATAGTTGCTACTATATATCCAGATGAGCTCCCATCTTTACTGATCGCTACAATGGTCAACACATTCTTTGGAGTGCTAGTGCGGTTGATTTTGATGAACTTCATCCACTGTTGGAAAGACCCAATTTTAATCAAAGTGGTCATTCAAATATCGGAAGTCACCCGCGCAATTTTACTGTAACACCGAAAAGACTCATCATATAATTATCATCTGCATAATATATACCAGTACGGTATTGCACCTTTTATACTTGCTTTCTACACCTGCTACAACAACAACAAATAGAAGCAATCAATTATGCCTTCTTCGACACAAAAAGTTTGGTGTCTCCTGTCTGCGCTAAGCTTCCTCTCTCTTGTCCATTCCTCCGGTGACTCTCTCAACGTCGATCTGGAGGTGGTCACCAACGTGGACTTGAGAAATCTTGGGGTCGAAGGTTTGGACATTCATGCTGGAAAATATTCCTTGACTGTCGATGCGTCTTGTCAATATACTCTGCAAGTAGACTTTAAGGAACATTCCAGCGATTCTTTGGTGGATGTTCCCAATCGTCACAACTTCCAAGGCGACTGCGATAAGGTTCTCGGAACCTTTTTGCATCAGCACAATCGCAACTGGATGCAATTCAAACAATACGTCCAAGATACCACTGGATTTGATCACATGTCCTTGTATCCACGTCCTTGTGGTATGGAACCGCTAGGCAGAAGACAACCTCGGTACGATGTCAACTTCTACACGGCGGATTCGCACCATCGAGCCATGTGGGTCTGCCGTACTTTTGATCGTCCGGAGCAGTGCGAATTCAACCAACCCAACTTTTTGGGGCGGGGTCACTTCACCATTCCACGATTGGCGCAGGATCCAGACATTATTGCCAATACTCCTGCGAATTTTACCTATGACCCGGACCGGCCACAAGCCTTGGAGTTTGAAGGTTTGATTGTAACAAACAGTCTCACAGTGCCAGAGACACCCACCGATATGAAGACGCCGGAAATTGAAATGAGTACCTATGATGGGGATACAGTATCCTTCCGGGTGGTGGTTCCCTACAAGTTGGTCACTGGGGACACTAGTGGATCGTATTCAGGAACGGTTCAGTACGAGTATCAGAACATGATGCAGCTCCCCGGTAGCTGGAGCGTAAACTACAATGCCCCCTCCAGTCTTATTTCTGTTGTTGTCAAGGGCAAAGGTAAATTATGCGGTGCCGAGTTTGATGAAGCCAAACAAGCACAAGAATCGGGGTAGTAGGGATACGCAGGATCATGATTGGACTGAACAATATTATGGACTTGGATTTGTTAATGACGTGTATAACAATGAATGTAAGCAACTGTTTGCTCCAAGGCAGCAGTTCTACTATTGATTAGTGACTCAAAGTTTCTTTATAGTTCTAGGATTCTATTATATATATGTAACATGCAATAGGAGTTGTCACGAGTTGTCCTTCTTTCAAGATTACAATCTCGACTCCAAGCTTTCGACTTTCCAAGCAGCTCCCCATTCTGTATAGTGACGAATGGCTTCCTTCAAGAAGAAAACTGACTCTTTCTTCATTGAGCGCCTCAAGAAAAAATCAGAATAGCGTTCATTGAGCAGCCCCTGATGGTGTAGGTGACCTTCTCGAGTGGCCATGTCAATTGCTGCTTCATACTTCTCCTCTGCAGCATCGAATTTCTTGTCTAGCCCCAGCTGCTCAGCCGCCAAGAAAAAGTTGTAGTATTGGGCATTGGGGTTTCCAGCGGCTGCCCACTTTTCAATCTTCTTGGCAAGTCGTTTCGCCTCTACCCGATACTTTCTCTTCTTGGTACGGATGGTAGCAGCATACAATGCAACGGCACGATGAAAGGTCTCAATCATGCTTGGAAAGTAATTTGGAAGCAGTTTGGTATATCGCTCTCCAACTTGGAGGGCCCACATGGCGGTAGCTTCATAATCTGCATTGAAGAAGGATAGCTCTCCTTGTGCCAAGTGCACAAATGATAGGTGCAATGGGTTGATTTCGTTGTCTTGTGCAGAGCTAAAGATTTCTCCTTCGAGATCGGCAGGATTGTGATTGCATGAGCTTTGTTGCAAGTTGTACAGCATTTGCCACATGACCTTGACAGCCATGGAGTGTGCTGCCTGGGAAACATCTTCACATTGGAGCAGTATCCTTGGACATTCATCAATGATGGACGAGATGGGTTTTCCAATAGAGTAGGGCAAGGTGATTACATGTGAAAACAGATTCCAAATGGCAAATTCCTGATGATTCGGCGTCGACAAGAAAACGGTAAGAGACGAAGATTCAAACAATTCTTGGCGCAATGTGCCTGCACTATCGTCAAACTTACAGTATCGCCCATTTTCATTCCCTCTTCAACAGCATCTCGCATGGGTTCTGAGCAGTCCTCGATACGTTTTACCCACACCAAGCCTGGAGCATAGGCAAGAAAGGTTGTTTCGCTGCTGTGCATTCCTCGAAACTTTTCCAGCATGGAAAGCGCAATCATATTGAACGTAGTGGCAGTCTCAAAATCGTGCAAAGCTAGGGTTACAACGTTTGCCAATGCTGCAAAACACTTTGCTGAATACTCATTGACACCAAATTCAAGGGTCTTAAGTGCGAGGCAAAAGAAGTGAGAAAACGACACCATACTGTAGTGCGCACTGCGTATAAAGCCAAGGTCTGGAACCAACAAAACTTACGGAGTTTACCAGGAAACAAGTGCATAGTAAATTCATCGACAAATCGCCGGCAATGTAGGAGAAATAGACCATCCTTGAAACCACGGAAGCTATGGCCTTCTGCTTCACATCGTCGATCGGCACCATTGTTTCGTAGAAGCTTTTGGGCTTTGCCTTCACCCTCTTGACTGTCCGCATCAGCTTGGTCAGTGCCTGCACCGGTACCAATCCTCTGGTCCACGTTAACCTGCAACCGAGCTCCTTCAACATTACAAAGTACTGGTCCATTGCCTCGCCAAACTTTAAGTCGACAGATCCAATGGTACTGGCCTTAGCCATCTTCAATGGAAGCACATCCATCGGAGATAGGTCTGTTCTGCACAGCACCTCGCTGCTGTATTGATCTGCAGCTGCCACATTTCCCAGCAATAGCTCCATTTCAGCTGCAATGATGTACAAACTCAAGGTCAAGGGTCGATTCTCAGACCACTTGTTATCTGCCAAAAGATCAATCCCATGGATCGCATAACCTTTTGCAGATTCGAAAGCGGAAAGATCTCTGGCTTTCTCTGCCGCTTTCAGGTTGGCCGATGCGAATTCAGCTAGTTGGAGAACGTTGCCGTTGTTGATGAGATCCACGATGGCGAACAATTCATCTTCAACCTCTTTCTTGTCCAAACCGTAATACAACGTCCTTCCAATATCGAGCTGAAAGGTCTCTCGCCGTTCTCCAGCAAGAGAGAGCGCTGCTTCTTGGAGCCTATCATGTACCCATCGGTACTGATTGTCATAGCATTTTTCCAAGATATCTTCTTTTACAATGGCCTCGAGCAGAAAATGGGTTTTTTCGATCCTGGTCTCCACCAATCTACGACCGTATGTCGTCCAAATGAGATCGATTGTGGTCTCACTGAAACTCGACCCAAGGTAGGCTGCACATTGTAGCAGCGCCTGTTGCTGGTGAGACAGTTTGGTCAGGTGACCTTGAAGCATGACAGCGACGTTCGCAGTAGACATAGTTGCAGCTTCGATCTCAGCGAGATCCCATGTCCATGTCTTCTTTGGGGCATGATGCTCAAGAAGTCCTTCATGGTGAAGCATCTTGAGGAACTCCATGAGGAAGAAGGGGTTACCGAATGTCCGTTTTAGGCACAATGCGGCAAGGCCAACTTTGTCTTTGTCATTGGAACACGGCAAAACTGTTCTGATAACCTCTTGGATGTCCTGCGTACTGAAAGATTGAATCATCATTTCTGTCATTTGGAAGTTGTACTTATCAGCCTTTTCTCGCAGCGAAACAATCTTATTGTAAAGAAGACTGTTTTCATCTGCCTCTTCGGACCTGTAACATCCAATGATCATGAAGGGATTTTCATTTTGTGTGTCTGATATGAGGAAATCTAGGATCTGTAAAGACGAGATATCACTCCACTGGAGATCATCAAACAGGATGACAAGCGGAGAGAAAGTTGTACTGATAGCCCTCATGAGAACACGAAAGGCAAATCGCAGCCTTTCGAGTTTGTTGTCGATCTCGTCTGTTCCAATATCGATCGCTGACGACTCGTGGAATGTATCATTGATAAGGTCCTTGAGTTCAGGAACAAGATGGACCAGCATGTCGGTGTTGTTTCCGAGGTGTTGGCTGATGCCTGATTGCACAAGACAGACCAATTCAGCTTTGGAATTCTTGATCTTGCGACACAATTCATTGAATGTTCTAGACACTCCAGAGTAGGGTTCGTTGCTTGTATTCATGTCAAATTTGCCATGAACGAACATTCCTTTTGGGTGACGGGACACATCGTTTTCAAGGGCGCAAGCTAATCTCGTCTTGCCAGTCCCACTTAAGCCCCCGATTAGAACAATCTCCTTTTTGTTTTCGCTTTGCTGTCTGTCTTCATCCTTTGCGAGAATGCGACCCAGGCATGCTTTCAACTGCGCAGTTTCTCTCTCCCTTCCAACAATACCCAGCGGCTCAAAGTCGGCATAATGTTTCGATTGCGAATTCGATTGCTTTTGATATTGGAAGACAGCTGGCTTGATAGTTGCCGGTTTCCTCAGCTCGGATGACCTGATTCTTACTCGAGTGGAAGACAATAGGTAACTTCCATCCTCTGAAATTCCAGCTGTCGACGAGTCACTCTTGATTACACTGGTAACTGACGATGCAGGATTCGATGATCCAACAGTAGCATTGTCCGCATGCTGCGTGTTCAAATGGGTAGTATTTGACGCCGTTAGCATATTAGAGTCCTGATCACTGCTATGTAAAGTTTCTTGTTTGGTTTCCTCCATGGTTGAGAATTTTATGAACGAAATTGCCGAGATGACCCGTTGAACCCGAATAGGAAGAGGGTTCTGTGAAGAACAAGAATACCGGGTACGGGACTTGTAGACCTTTCGGCACCCTTTTAATAAATCCTCTACTTTTAGAATAATAAAAAGGAGAAGAACTTCGCTTTCGTCTTTAAGTATTTGGAAACGTGGGGATTTCGCAAGAAGCAAGTGTCGTTCCCACCGGGAAATTGGTGGCGATTGGAACAGAACCTTCGCATTTGCGAAGCGAAAAAGTGAGAAAAATATCTGGAGAACATGACCCTTATAATATTACCATTACCCCAGTAAAAATCTACTTGCACCAAAATGACCCAACTTAAGCCACATTCTTGAGAGCTACAGTACCGGTTCGTATTGGTTGAGCGGCGGAGGTCAAACAACATCAAATTGGGCTATAACGATAATTCATCTTCCACTGCCTTATTATTCCTAGTCTATTTCTGGATGATAACTCATCTTCGCTCCATCAGCTTCTTTATCTCTAGTCCAATTTCTGCAAGGACGCACTCCCTCTCGCCGATTGATTGATTGATTGAATGAATCATTCATAGTCGTAAGAAAAGTCGAGAGCCGCCTCTTGATGCTCGCCGTGTACTTCCTGGGTACTAGTAGTAGTTGACTTCAAATTGTTCCAAGATATGAGATGAGGAGTTGCAACCACTGTATCCTTCTTTTCACATTCCAGCTAGCCATGTGTGGTGGTACAAATTAGATCGATGGTTGGTGTGTTGTACATTGGAGTAGCGTTTGCTGTTGGCTTGGTACGATGGTATTACAGCAAACTGCAGTACATGCAGCTGAACTGTCAGCTTGTTATTCGACGTGTACTGCGGTACCAGTACTGGAGTAGTATATTCGCTTAGTCGATACACATTCAACTTTCATACTGTCTGCACCACGATACTGCTTCTGTCCGTCGCTCGTCTCAATCTTCCAAGCGCAGATGAAAGCGGGAAGATTGCAAAGCAAGGTCCCCTGTGAGAGTGTGATATACCTTACTACATTAAAGGGCGTATTGCGGAGGGTACACATACGCGAAATTGTTACCTTTGGCTGCGCAGGGGATGTTGTATTTGACGATGCGTATGCTGCTGACCCTGAGAAATGTTTACCAGGACTCGACCAGAACTTGGAGAGTATGCTTCAAGCGCAAGTCTGGATTGGTACCAAGCATCAGAAGAAACCAACAGGAACCAAGCGCCTAACAGGCTCCAACTAGAGCGATAAGGTACGTGAAGTTGTACAACTGGAAACAAGCAGAACTAAAATGCCTCAAGCTGAACAAAACATTTGTGACCATTGTATTAATGCAGTAAATGTATACGAGAAGAGGATATTGATATTTCAAAATATCCTGCATTCTTCTTCACTCTGTCAGCCAAGTCATCACACCAACTGTGATTGCGTTTAATGGTACACGCACGTATTTTACGTGTACATGTACAGTCCTACTTGCATATATATATATTATATAAATCGCAGCGTTCTCTGTGATATATATTTTATCGCGTCTTACGAAATTCCACTCACAGTTTGTTCTGTCAAAACTACTCACAGAAAATCCAACTTCGGTTTTTGATCACGGAACAAAAAGTCTCTAGACACACTTCACTTTGGTACCGTACTCACAATCTCTTACTTTGCCCGGCAAGTCAAGCCTCATATAGCAAATCCTAAAATATCACCAGCTTCATCATCATGGCTCGCATCATCTTCACCAAGATCATTTTGTTGTTGAGTATCATCATGCTCATCTCTTCTTGTTGTTCGGCCAATTCCTCCCAAGAGACTGTTTCCAACATGGCGCACAATAAGTTTCAAAACAGTGGAAATACCAAAGTCTTCCATCAGCATACAGAGCTTCGGGAAAACGCAACACCAATGGTAGAAAGGACTGATGCAGCAGACGGTGCTGATCGCTTCCCGGAACTCCCTCCTGATTTGGAGGCAAAACTTCGTGCACGTACCTTGGAAGGGAATGCACTCTTTCGTGTAAATAGAAAGAAGGCCAGAGCGAAAGCAGCAGCAAGCGCAAATTCCAACCTTGAGACTACCAGAAAGTGGAAAATGATACTAGGCGGCATCGACAAGGTCACTACTGCCAAGAAAGAGGAGGACGAAGAAATTCGCACTAGCCAGCATGGCCTGCGGGGAACTCGCACTGCTGGAAAGAACTAACATACCAAAAGATAAATTACATCATCAAAGTAGAGCACATATGTACTAGAAGATTATACTAATAGCATATAACATTCTGAAAATTTATTTGCAGCATGGCCAACCAACAAGAAGTTATTTTGCCAATCCACAGGCACCAGGGCGACCGATCCATGGAAATAGCCCTTCTGTTGTGTTTGCATGCATCGAATGAACCAATCAATCTGTCGTTCCAACAATTGTCAATCATTAGTTTCGATGGTCCAGCCTCTACTAGATCATAAGAGGGGACTTTATACGTTCGTTGAGAAATCTCCTTCTTCTTGGTGGCGGGTGATAAACAGGTTTGGAAGAAACTCTTCGCAATCGACAAAATAGCGTTTAAATACCACAAATTTACAGGCAAGTATAGACAACTCACTGCGAATAAAACCTTGCAAAATTTCTCTCCTCGAATATTACAACAGTTGTTTGAACCCCTTCTTTTGATGAAAGTAATACTCATCTCTCCTCCAGTAACCTTCCATACTTTCTTTTGCCAATCCCTGGCGAGCGTTCCTCCATTCAAACAGACGCTTTTGCAGTTTCTAACTTCGCAGTATCTTTCCAATGCTCTATCCTCGGTTTCGATGGTCCAGCCTCTGGGAAGACGATCCATCATGTTCGTTGAGAACAAGACTGACTCCTTCATGGCAGGTTTGAACGAACAAATGATCTAAATTCATATACTACAAATATTGTCTTCACAACAGACAACGACCAGCGAATAATAAAACACATCTATTATACTATTGAAAACTAATCGGTTGTCTGATATTCTTTAGGCATTTTGCTTCACTTTTTTTCAAATCCTCCTTCTTGGCGGCGGGTTTGAACACAAGCAACAAGAATGCTAATGCAAATCTTCCATTCCTGACAACTATAATACAACAAACAGCGAATACATACAATTCTAAATATGAAATTCTACCGGTTGTCTGATCTTCTATTATTTTGCCTTTGCAACAACTTTTTTCCTTGGTTATAGCTAGGTACTGCTGCTGGCAGGATATCCACCTTACAGTCGACTTCTGTCTATCACCAATTACTGATATGTAGTACAAATTACACCAGCAATCATCCAAGACAACGGACGATAAGAGTCATCTGTAATGCTGACCATGTTTATTACAGTAAGAACCATTTTGTCAAGGAAGACGATAATGCATGAGGACCCGGATCTCTTTACGACTAAATCGACTGACATCGCGCCATTTTGGAAACTTTCCAAAAATGTACTGGAGCTTACGTACATGTACGGGCGCAGCTCAATCTGAAACCTTCCTCACCTCTGACCAAAGAAAAACAACTGGAGGCAAATTTCCATTCTGTTGTTGTTGTTGTTGTTGTTGTTGTTGTTGTTGTTGTTGGCACTGTAACAATAACAAGCTTCAGCACACTCCAATATTTGGAGGCATCATAATGAGTCCATCACCTAACACACGACGTAGCGCGACAGAGCAATCACAATCACAAGACAGTCTCATTTTGCACATGAGCATCTCTGACAATGATGACAGTAAGAAGCCCAATGATGATGATGATGATGATGATGATTGTCATCCATCTACCAAAGCAGCAGCGCCGCCAAATCCAGCAATAAACGACGACCAAAACCAGCCTGTTGCTGCTGCTACTTCTTGTCACAAGGTTGCGGATTTGTGGCAAACCGTCGATCGTGAATTGCGGCTCAACATTGGAAACTCGCTCAAGTGCGGCATTTGTTTGTCCACCTTGACGCAACCGTACCGCACCCCCTGCGTCCACGCCTTTTGCAAGGATTGCATCAATGCTAGCCTCATGTACAGTGGCAACAAGAAATGTCCCGAATGCAACACTCCCATTACCAAGCGAAGTTTGCAACCCTTTGACTATTTGCAAGATTTGTGCGATGCCTACAAGTTGACGCTGCGAGAATTTGGAATGGTGCCTGCCAAATACACACCCAACTTTACCACCATGACCCAACAGGTTTGTCCTTCGCCCTCTACTAACGACGATGACGACGACGATAACGAAGAAGAATTGTCGCCACAAGATCAACTGGATCGATTGGATGTGGCCACGGCGTGGCAACAAAAGGCATTGCCTCTGCTGGCCAGCCAACGCAAGATTCAAGACTTGCAGGTGGAAGAAAATGCTCAAGTCGTAGATGCCAATTTCAAAGCCTGTGGGGATCTTTTGATCCCAAAGGCCCAATTGAATTCCACCCAAGAAGTTCAGGAACAGGCTCGCGAACAGCAATTGGCGGACGAAGCGTGGAAACAACAACAGCAATTACAAGAAGAGCTAGCCAAAAAGCAACAAGGCAATCCAACCCAAGACTCGTCTGTCTTCTTGACGGCTCCGGAAGAATCATCGTTATCCAATTCGCCCAACAATAACAACAAGCGAGTTTCCTTTTCGACCAAGCCACCTACCAATTTGGGTTTCGTTGCCAACAAGACATGCACTAATCAATTGGTCGTTCATACCAGTCATGCTTCGGAAAATACAGAAATTCCCGCCGAGGAAGATATCATTACACCCAAATTGACCAATGTCACCTTCAACAAGGCTGATACTGCATTCACTGTTGTAGTTGCGACTCCTGCTGCCTCCAGAAAACGAGACAGTACTCTGTTTGAGACCTCGCTGTCTCCAATTGACCCACAAGCGTCCCAAGAAATCATGCCTCGGGATCCTACTGCTGCTGTCGCTGCTGCTTCTTCTTTGAGTGAAGAACCTGCAGACGAGGAGGAATCCCTAGTGACCAAGGAGCCTTCTGCTCTTGTTCCGTTGCAACCGAACAACGAAACGAGTGCCCAACAGGACGACGACGACGAGTCGAAAAAGAAGAAAAAGACTAAACCCAAGAAGAAAAAGGTTGGCAAGGCAAAGGGTGGTACTGCTGTTGGAAAGGAGACGGAGAACAATAGTGCAAAATCCAACGCGGAGGAAAGTACCAACACCAATAGCACTACTCGCCGCAGCCATCGACGTTCGTCTAAGCAAGAAGCAGTAGATCCAACCAAGGATACTGGCGCCTTGTCCATGCCCACTCCTTCACCATCAAAGCAAATGCAACCACCAGAACCAGAGCCACAAGACGAAATCTTGACGCTCAGTCACAATGATACCGAGGAAAGTGAAGAAATTCCCAAAATTTTGGAACAGGGCACTCAAATGACCCAAGATGATAATGCTACTGCTTGTTTCAATACGACGGCTGGTGCCATGATGGAAGATTCCTTTGGGGCCTTGCATTTGTTGCCCGTCAAGAGAAAAAGGAAGCAACGACAGTTGGAGTTGAGCCAATCAAGTCAAGTGAGTGACGACGTTGACGATGAAGATCAAACGGCTAAAGATTCTATCGAAGACAAGGCAACTGACTTGGCGGAACAAGATGCCACGAAGGAACTTCTACAAAACGACGTCTCAGTGGACGATGATTGGACCGTGCCCATCAAGTCCCAGTCTCCCGAATCGATTCACACCAAGGAATCATCGCCACAAGCAACGGAACCGGAATTGAAAACAAAGACAGTTCGCAAGAGGACTTCCTTTGGAACTGCCACCACTACTCGGTTTGGAGCAGCAGCGGCACATGTGGAAGAAACTACGACTACTACTACTACTATTCCTCTCAATCAAGAAGAGGAGGAAGAAGAGGAGGATCGAAAGCCAGCGGCTCGTCCCACCATTACGCCCCGTCGAAGACGACGACGAAAGAGTGGAGCGAACGAAAGCAATGCCTTGGAGGAAGCACAAAATACCGACCGTGCTTCCCTGGCCCCGGCGACTCCAGCTGCTACCGTAAATCCAGCCACTCGCCCTCGTGTTTGGCATGTGGGTGAAATTGTCAAGGTCCAACCACGAACTTGGCCCGGTGTGAACAAATTGGGTGGAGTGGCTCGAGTCACCAAAGTTTGGGAGGCCTTTGCTAATTGTTGTTACGATGTGGCCTACATTTTGGGAGGCAAGGAATCCAAGGTGGATGCCATTTTCGTGGTGGAAAGCGATGACTTTGACGATCAATCGCAGCCCCAACAACGCCGACGTCGCAAGGCGGATGCCACTGAGTTGTCCATGGCCATGTTGCAGGATTTGGAAAGACAAGGATTCGATACCACTGGACTGAAACCGTTGAAGACGCCCTATGTTAAGCGGAAGAGACCTCGATTGGCTCCAGGGAGTGCGCTCAAGGATACTACCAACAGTAAGAAGAAGGAGATAAAGAAATCAAGCGATACCAAAAAGACGACGGCTAATGACAACAAGCGCAAGGCTAATAGCAGCAACACCGAAGCGCAGAAGACTGCTACCAAGAAGGTTGTCAAGAAGGCCAAAGAGAACCCAAAGACTGAAACAAAGACAAAAGCAGGAAAATCAAAGGCTGCTACGTCGACAACGGCAGCTGTCAAGGCAAAGGCAACTGTGAGCGCCTTTTCGTCAATGAGCCTACCAGAAATCTTCGTCAAGGCGGATGATCACTACGAATCCATCATGGACAGTGCCCAACGCGACGGAGAGCTCTACATTGTCACGTCCAGTTTGAAAGAAGGCGAAATGTCCATGCTCAAGGAAGTATGTTCCAAGTCGCTTGGAAACATACGACTTCGTGTGACCGACACCTTTGGCAAGCGCACGAAGATTTGCGTCCTTCCCGTCGAGGAATCGGAAGGCAATATCCGACCCCAGATTCGAACCGTCAAGGCAGTTCGATCGGCATTGGCCGGGATTCCAATGGTGCCGCCGGATTGGATTGCTCAAATGAAGGATCAGAAGAAGTTTATCGTTCCCAATACCTTTGTGCGTTCCTTGCCCGCCAAAGCCGTTCCAGGAAAGAAGGGCGGAGTTGCCCAATATGCCGCTGGCATCAAGTCCAAGCAACACTTACTGCTCAAAGGAACCTCCCTCTTTCTGTGCGGAAACTTTCCCGATGCCCAACGAAAGGATATGCATCTCGTGGCTAAGGAAGCGGGCGCTGTCGTTTTGAAAACCCCCCAGCAAGCTGTGGATCAATTGCAACAATCGAAACGAGTGGTGGTCTTGTGTAACACTTCAAACATTGCACCTGTCCCATTGGAAAAGCAGCTACGAACGTCGCTGACTGCTGACTCACAAGCTGCGTTGGTGGTTGGGCCAGGCTGGTTGTTTGATTCGATCGCTAGCGTTGAGGAACTGCCGCCCCAAGCATTTCCACCACCGGAAACCAAACAGCGCACGGCGATGGAACTTTGGAGACTGTGCTGTGCCGATAGTTAAATAGTAGAGACTGGTGCAATCTTAAAGACGTAGAGTATTATACAAACGTTGAGGAAGCAACCACTAGCTCAAACTTGTAATCTCGTCATATTCCATTAGCTGCTACATCCATTTCATGCCGTATCAGATACTCCAAAGAATCTAAACCGTGTACTGTGTTGATTGTACCAATCGGGATCCAATGAACTTGAAGATACCCCGCATTGTTAAACAGATCGGAATCCAAATAGGCTGGCCCGCCAGTCAGATTAAAGCTAGCAAAATCAAACCCTCCTTGCTCACTGTACAAGAGGATCAGACTTGCTCCCCGTGGAAGAAAGGTGGCTGTCATTGCCCCACCTCCGCAGGTCGATACGAAAACATTCGATTGACTTGTCAACGATATCTGGTCCATGAGAGACATTTGGGCAAATTCAACAATTTGCACGTCTGCTGATGGAAAAGCAGAATGTAGTCGTTGGTGCTGTGCCTGGAAATCCAAGTCACGTTCCGGTTCACCCGACGAATGGGCGCTTAGCAAAATACGGAACGGATTGTTCCCGGACGGTATCAGTGGGAAGCCCAGGTTGTGAAGCATAAAATTTCGGAATTGATAGAGCATGGACCCTCTTCCGACATTTTGTACAGGGCCGTCAACGGTTGGATTCCATCCATGGTCCTTGAGGCCATGGTCGGAAAGCATGCCCAATCCAGCAACTGCCGTCTTGGCGCAGATTATGGTTGGCGATGCTGGGCTCTGTTTGGCATGCTTGGCAGTGGAAAAAGTCGATGGGTCGATGCCCATGAGCGGTAGGAATTTCTCATAATTCTGGGCGCATCGTTGAGCCTTTTTTCGTCTCATTTCACAGGTACCGTACAAGAGAGGAAGGGTGTCGACTCTCAATAGAACCTTTTCAGACGCCAAGAAACCAAAGTCACTCAGCAGCAAGTAAATCGCATATAAGTCATCCCAGAGTAAGTGCCCGACGTTGTGGGCCGCAAGCGAATGAAATGGCACAAAGACGGCGTTATCGGGTAGCATATAGTAGTCTTTCGGTGGTGCATCTACAATCTTGGGAGACCATTTGACCTTGTGGATGCCTTGATTGAAATCTGTTCCATTCCATCGTGGGTTGATGCCCCCCAGAGCTAGAGTCAAGTCATTTGGAATTGTTGATGTTGAAATAAAAGATGGAGGATAATGCTTCCGGCGTTGTTGAAAATCTTTTTCTGTTGGACCCTTGACAAGAAAAAAGTCTTTGGTGCTGGTGTCGAAACACAAATTCTTGAAGTGACAGGACCGGTACATCCACGCGGTATCCGGATTGTGTGTTTCTCCAATGCAATGGGCGGAGGAATGGAAATCAGCAGACTTGCGGAGATATATTGGTACATTATTAAAAGTCCCATCCGGATATTTCGAGTCCGTCTTTTGATTTTGCAGTCCAGATGATGACTGAACCACGAGCAACACGTTGATTGCCTGAAGAATGGCAACGATTGTAATCATGACGCAAATTATGAGCTTCAGCGAAACCCCATTCCTCCTTTGGTTGTGGGAGCTATTAAAGCGACTCATTAGGGATGATGATGTTTACTTGATCTCTACATTCATTTGGTATGGTACGTTTGGGTTGGCAGTTATTGTCAACAGTGTTTCATTGAAAAGTTTGATATTTGATGTTGAGTCGGAGCAGTCAAACCCAATCGCTACAGTATCCTGCCTTCCTACCTTCACCGCACCTACCTCCCACCTTCCAATATGCCGCCAGTAGAAGATATTGTACACAAGTGATTCCAATCGATGGCATGATGATGAGCAAGATGATGTCTAGTCTATGGTTTGATCTATATTATTGTCTTTATTCAACAACAGCAATAGCAATAGCATGTGGAAATTAACCAGTGGAAATTAACCACTTAGGATTTGTACACATCAAGCAAACACATTATTCCCTGATGCAGCCCATGTTCTGCAACAAGGACGGTGAGACTCCCTTCTCTTTATTCAGGTAAAGTTGCAGGACGCCTTCAGCCAGGGCCTTGTCCTTCATTTCACCAATGGGCTTCCCCCGAGCAGAAGCCAAAATGGTATCTTTTCCCTTCCATTCAAAGGTTATTGACTCTCCCTTTTTCATATTTCCTTCGCCCATACCGTCCAGAAGCATGGTGTGGAATTCGTTCTTGATCTCTTCTTTTACATTTGCTGTGAAAATTTGAGATACGATGAAGAAATATGAGACAACAGATGACAGACGAACAAGTGCTGCATTCAGAGGTGATACCTCAATATGTAAAGCAAGTGTTCTAAGCGAATCAACAACCACGTACCTAGTTGCGCAATGGCTTCGGCAATTTTTTCTGGTCCAATTCCCATGGCAAAGGTCAACTCGACTGCTTTTGGTTGGTTGGACTCAAGAATCGTTTCGCAGGTTGTTGTCTTGGAAGAGGATGCGGCTGCCTTGGTGAGTTGCTTCTGTAGCGGATTAGACACATAAAAGCCCAGAGAATAGATATTTATGAACGCCTTCTTTCGTGTCCCAATGCCGGCTAGTGACATGGAACCCTTGTTGACTGCAAACGTCTTGGAGTTGGGAAAGTTGATTCCCGTTGCAGTATCTGTCAAAAAGCCAGAACCTTGAGAAATTCCAGGCGCGACACTGTTCGCACCAAACCAGTATGCGAGAATCGCTACGATGATGAGAATGAAGAATTCTCCAGCGTCCATGATGAAAGTGCCTATGTATGGCGCTCTTGCAAATAATATGTTTCTCGTTTGTTATTGTTTTACTGTTCGATGTTTCGATCTTTTGAACTCAACAATCGCGCCAGACCGGATGTGACGTCACTCAAACCTCAGAACAATACTGTAGTGAAACTTGGGCAATTTTTGAGACAACGACGGAGCATAATATTGCACACAGCAATGCTACTCCCATTGGAAGGCATTGCAAATCTACCATCAATAGTGGTGGTTCCTCCAACACATCTGATACTGCCAGATAGCTCTTGGATTTCTTCGATTTCTTCCGACATTTTCCTCGCACAAAATGAAGCGACGATGTTTTCATTATTGGCACAACTTCAGATGCCTTCATTATTAGAAGGAGGAGGAGGGGGCTTCGGAAGTCTATTGGATGAATTGGATTTTTCAATGCACCCGATGATCACTGCGGTGACATCATATTTCATAGTCACAGCGTCGGATATGATTCCATTTGTCCCTTGCCAACCGATAGCAATTGCTCTAGGAGCCAAGCTTGGGTTCTCTGTCGCCTTCCCTATCACCCTCCTTGGCCAAACGACAGCTGGGGTTCTAGCATTTTCGGGAGCGCGAAAGGCCGCTGACTCTGATACTGCTCAGAAAGTGGCAACTTCGAAGCTACCGCAAGAAGCGCTGGAAAAGTTGGATGAATTAAGAAATATGACAGACGCTGCAAAGCAAGGAGATGGAAAGATTCTGCTGGCATTGATTGGTTTGCGATTAGCACCGTTCTTTCCTTTCTCGGCTGGGAACTATGTGCTTGGGAGTACCACGTCAGTACCATTGCGGCTGTTCATCGTCGCAACGCTGCTTGGATGCATTGCTTCCAACCTGTTGTCCGTTGGCATCGGTGCAGGTGGGGCCATGATGATTACCTCTGAGAATGTGAATCAATTCTTGACGTTACCGTGGAGTTTGTAAGCTTATGGATACTAGATTTGTACAGTACTGATTTATTGATACATGTCTGTAATGTTTACCTTGTCGTTGATGTCCGACGCTGGTTTCGGAAGTACTTTGCTACACGTTCTCTCACTGTCTCAGTTGATACTTCAAGATACCCATCATTGCTTGGTGCTACCAGTAGAAAACGACCACCTTTGGCTTTGACTGCCTCGATAATTGCGTCGACTACTGTAGTTTTCTTGCCCCGATCAAGAGAATCATACTCTTCGAAGCGATCCTTAATCAAACGTTGCATCAAATCCTTGCCTCGACTATTGTGAAACTTCCCAAAGACCACATCGCTGGGAAGCGGGTCGCCTGAAATAGAAAACCCATCATTGGCATTTTGCCGAAGCGCAGCTCGCTTTTTGTTACGAAACATTTGCGTGATTTTCGTTCGCACTTCTTCAACAGGAAGTTGAACCCAAGAAGAAGCTGTGTGTAATTTTGTGGTGCTTTGTTGCTTCAAAAATCGGCCTCCAGTACCGTGAATCTTACTGATAATGTCATCCACTACAACTCGCTTACTTTCATTCGATCCAGAGTCATAACGTCTCGACGATTCTGTTACAAGGGTTCTCAACCGAAGGTTGCCCCTGTTTCTGCCGGTTCTACCGCGGCTGAATAAAACGTTATCAGTGTTTCCAAGAGCAAATGGCTGACTTGGCTCAAATACAGTAACAGTAGTACTCAACACAGAAGAAATGGGATTGGTCGGGGACAAATGAATCAGATGTTTCTGGGTGATTACATTGGTACTTGGATCGAAAGGTAGCAATGACCTCGATATTCCGTAACTGGAGAGTCGATACTGGCATTCCAAATGCGTCCCGTAATGAATCTTTAGTTTTGCACGTTGTGTCGGACGTAGTGCCTGTATTCCATGAGGGGCAGAAAGTGTAATGAGCGATTGAATACTTGCTGCAGTATGAGGACCCATCTGACTTGTCGTACCTTCAACGCCAGATCGTACACGAAAAAGGCCTTAATATCGTCAATGCATAGGTGAATAGATGCCATGCGAAGAGGAATTGCCTAGATTTGTCAAACGGCGAATGCGTCAGAATGCGTGGGAATGGCTGAGATGAACGCTCAGCGTGTGGTGGACCTTTCATGTTCACAAGCAGATCATTGCCACTTACGTTCGACAGTCTTGCAAATTCCAACATTCCAAAACTTGTCTTGTTCCTACAATGACCAACTTCATAGCTAATTCGTACTACACCTCTGAGTTGGATTTCCTCATATTTCAACAAACTCATCTTGAAGAAAAAGTGCGATTTCATTTCGTTTTTCAGAGCTTTGAACGATCGAAGGGCCGGAATTCCGAGAAAAACATGTCGGGATGATTGATCTTTACCAATCATTCGCAAAAAGCCACAATTTAGGCATGCCAAGTCATCCGCATCTAGGTCCTCCATCGTGATCTCCTTCACCAGTTTCTCATCCCCGAAAAGCTGTTGCTTCATCTCGAAAAACTTTAGCATTTGTCCTGCTGAAGCCTTTGCATCATATCGATTACAACGCAGGAACATTAATCGTAATGCGGTTGCACCCACATAATGGGGGTCCATTCTTTCGGCTTTTTCGTATGCGCTGCGGTCTGTATTGCTACGACGCAAGAGATGGCTATCAAGTTCCTCAAGCGCACTGCTGATTAACGCTTCGTCTTCAATGATCCCTTCTTCGACTCCGTGCAAAGCCTCTTGTTGGCGTTGCCGCTCATCAAACGAGAGTTGATTCATTGCTTCCGATACCAAAGTCTCCATCTCCTGTTTCTTCTCCTCATCTTCCCTAGTCAAGGTACCGTTGCTTTGAGTGTTCTGTCGCGATAGAAAGTCATACTCGTAATCCTCCGAGCGACCACAAATTCCAGAGCATGTCAGTCTTCTTCTGTAGTCTTGATCAGAGTTGCTAACCATGACGATGTCGTATACTGTAAGTGATTGACACCTCTCTTTGCCAAATAAGTTGCAGCTTAAGAGTTATGGTAGGTTGCTTTGCAATATAATTCGATCGATTATTATCATCGCTTCCTTTTATCCTTCGATGACTCGTCCGACTCCACCAATCATGAAAAAGAGTATGTATGAGTTACTCTACTACTAGCTCTACTAGAGCAAGGGATACACATCCTGTACACAGCTGGCACCTGGTACCGTTATTCTGTTCCATAATACGACCTTGTAGTGAAAACAACTCTTCGTATTTCACCATGCAACATTTATCACGTGTGTCTATACTAGATGAGTTTGGGCAACTAGGCACGATTCTACATTCTTGGCCGTGCTTCTGCTGCAAAGAAGGAGAATCATGCATGCCCAGCAGTGATCAGCACATACCAAGCCAAGTGGCCCAATGTGCAATTGACGCACGTCTTCACTGAAATTCTAACCTTGGAATGTACACCCATGGACGACAAATATGTGTAAGAATGAAAAGTAGGCCATCGACATCGATCCACTGAAGTTTCTGTACAGTTTCAAGTTAGTGATGATGATGCTGAACATGCACTAGAGTCTCAATTTAAAAAAACAAAAAAAGGAAACCTTGTGAGTTTCGGATTGATGGCGTTTTCACACATCACCGGTTTTGCAACATTTAACAAAGATTGATTGATTCTGTTCGGAAGCAATTTTTCAAATGCTAAATAACGGCATGCACTCGCAAAAGGTCACAAGTCACAAGACTCAGCTTCGTCACCACATATGTTCGGCAAGGTTCCAAGACGCTCACCTGCCTCATTCTTGGATATTATCATACGCTGTGCTTGCTGATCTTATTACAAAACTATCATCATTTTATATATCTGTCAAACCTTTTTGCAAATATGAAAATGGGTGGATTGAACAATAAGTCCGTGTTGCTATTGGCATTGTTGTTGCAACTATTGTTGGGCAATGCTCCTGTTGTTGCTACCAAAGAGGTGGCAGAAGCTTACTTTGATGGGTTTGTGGAAACCACCGAACAAGCTGGATACACGGATTGGTTGAATGCCAACTTTGGTACATCCTACTCACAACATTCCTTCTTGTCGACTTCTTCCGCCACTGGGAGTGGAGCTGCTGTCTTTTGGACGATCAACGGAGACGAGATCAGCTTTGCCGTTGCCGCTCGCGCTACTGGGTGGCTATCCTTTGGCATTTCTGAAGCAGGAGGTATGCTGGGATCCGATGTTGTCTATTATGAGACAGCCAATCCAGATGAACTCGTAGATTCTTATATTATGGAGGCCCGAGCAGCCCCATTGAAGGATGACTGTCAAAGCTGGAATTTGATTGCCAAGACGATCACGGACGATGGTTGGATGATCTTGGAAGTCAACCGAAAATTGGACACTGGAGATACTCAAGATCACACGATTAAAATTGACGCTGGCGGCTTTGTCGCACCCACAAGATTGATTGCTGCATGGGGTGATACCCCAACCGTGTCCTTCCATGGAACCAATGCAGCACGTAACTCAGTTCGCTTGTTTGCTGATGGTTCTGTGAGTGTGAAAGATGCCTTGCTCACTCAATTGAACAGTACTACCGTCGGCATATTTGATGTGAGAGAGAGTAACTACGAAATCCCTGGCCAAGATACGACCTATCATGAGGTTTGCAGAACTGCTGCCGATATCCTGCAAGAAATCGGAGTCACGGAAACACCCCTCACGATTATCGGCGCAATGCCTGTTATTTCGGAGGCAACCAGAGCCTATATCCACCACTTTACTGTCTACTCGAAGGAAGAATGTGGTGTGGGTACCTACGATCGATCAATGATTTATGCTTGGGCTCCTGGAGACGAAGGATGGGCGCTTCCAGACAATGTTGGATTCCCACTGTTCGAAGTCGCCGATCGTCAAGCCATCAGCATTGAAATCCACTACAACAATCCTGAATTGGTTCAGGGGGAGCTCGATTCCAGTGGGCTAAGATTCTTCTACATCAATGGAGAAAGAGAACAAAGAGCTGCCATCTTGGAGCTTGGAGATCCAACTGTGTCTCTTTTTGGTGAAACAATCAGCGATGGCTTGACCCAGTATGAGTTTTCATGTCCAAGTGCTTGCTCGAGTGCTGTATTGCAACAGCAGGGTGTGACTGTCTTCGGTGAATGTAAGTTTAGTGCAGTGCAGTGCAAGCCGAAACAAGTGAAGAATTTGTGTTTAGTTCCGATATTCTTTTTGGCTCACACACTTATTCGATTCAATGAATGTACCATATAGATTTGCATATGCATCAAACTGGTGTTCGAATGACCAATGACGTTATCCGTGACAACGAGGTTGTGCACACCAGTAAAGTGGATGTCTTTGAATTCGACCAACAAGGTGCCTTCCTTGTCCAGCAAGAGCCATACGAGGTTAAACCTGGAGATGCATTCCGGACATCTTGCTACTACCGAGACGGTGCAGAATTCGGCTTATCGTCGCAAGAAGAAATGTGCATTGCCTATGTGCTCTATTATCCAGCACAAGAGGCTGGTGGTTTCCCATGGATGTGCCCGTATGGAATTGGATTTCCAATTTGTGACCAACAGCTCGTTCCATCTGATTTGCAAAATAATATTCAGGCTCTCAATCGTGTCTTTGGAACTCCAAGTGACACATGCGCCGGTGGTGGCAGTGTCGATCCTACTGATCCTCCGACTGATCCTACTGCCAACAATTCAACAACTCTTGCACCAACATCAAGTACTGCTGGAAGAACAACTGGAGTCAATACCGTCTTCTTTACCACTCTCATCGGAGCTGCATTCCTATTTCTTACTGTTGGACTATAAATAAGACTGCCTAGTATTCTTTTCACATTGGAACTGTAACCTGCCCCTGTCCTAGCATATATAGCTGGAAATATACAGTACCGGTAGCGCCAGTGACATCTTCTTATCAAGGTAGAACCAATATATTGGACGACGGTTGGACGCTTTCTTTCTGCATTTTTATTATATTTTGAATCATTGCATTCTTCGTCATAATAATATTACGATCGATTCATTCATTCATTCGCTCCTTCATCATCTGACACAAAAATTCTGTATCAACGTCAAACATGCCTGGGTATTTGTTAATATTGTTGTTGTCGTTGATACATATCTATACTGTCAATTCGACAACGGATGTAGCTTCCAACTACTTTTCAAACCTTTCTTCCGCGGAAAAGGCAACCTTCCTCAACTGGCTCGATGCCAAGTTTGGTACTTCAGTTTCGCAGCACTCCTTTCTAACATCCTCATCAAATGCAGATAATGGCGCCGCCGTTTTTTGGGAAATCAACGGGGACGAGATCGAATTTGCCATTGTCGTACGAGCATCAGGATGGGTCGCTCTGGGTATTTCGGAAGCTGGAGGAATGTTCGGATCGGATGTTGTTTACTACGAATCATCCAATCCCAACACGGTTGTCGACTCTCATATCATGGACAGCCGAGCAGCCCCATTGGTGGATGACTGCCAAAACTGGAGTTTCCTGTCTACAACTATTGAACAAGGATGGTTAATATTGGAGGTAAGGCGACCACTCGATACTGGAGATTTCCAAGATCATGTCCTTCGCAATGACGAAGAGTTGTGGATGGCGCCGACTCGGTTGATTGCTGCCTGGGGAGATGACAATAGCCTTGGATATCATGGCCTCAACACTGCACGAAACTCAGTGCGACTATTTTCCAAGAATTCTGGCAGTACCAGTAGTGCATTGCAGGCTTCTTTGGATAGCAAGTCCGATGGCTCCTTTGTTGTCACTGAATCCAGCTATCAAATTCCGACCAGGGACACGACCTACCATGAGCTTTGTATGACGTATTCGGACATTCAACAAGAAATCGGCACTGCGACAGTTCCTCTGACACTTATAGGAGCCATTCCCATCATCACGGAAGAAACAAGAGCATTTGTTCATCACTTTACAGTCTACATTCAACCAAGCTGCCAGAATGACTTGCAAGCTAGGTCCATGATATATGTTTGGGGTCCAGGTCATGAGGGCATGTCACTTCCAGATAATGTTGGCTTTCCTTTGTTTGAGGCAGACGACAAACAAGCTATTTGGATACAGATACATTACAACAATCATTCAGGCGTCTCGGGCATGAGGGATTCCAGCGGGGTCAGATTCTACTATACAGAAACAGCAAGGGCAGAAGAAGCAGGAATGCTGGAGCTAGGAGATCCACTTGTCCGGCTATATGGTCAATCCATTAGCAATGGTCTATCAAAGTATGAATTCACTTGTCCCGGATCATGCTCGGGTCTCTTTTTGGCGCAACGCCAAGTCACTGTCATTGCTGAATGTAAGTCTAGCTACTGAGTGCATGCTGCCGCATCGCCGTATGGCCCACATCCTATCCATTTTGCTTCATAAAAAAGTCCTCCATATGCATCAAACTGGAGTGCGAATGACTAACGAAGTGATTCGCCAAAACGAGGTGGTACACAATGCCAAAGTCGATGTCTTTGACTTTGAAGAGCAGGGAGGTTTCCGAGTACCACAGGACCCTTTTACTGTAACTCCTGGTGATACCTTTCGAACTTCGTGTTACTATCGGGATGGAGGAGCATTTGGACTGTCTTCGCAGGAGGAAATGTGCATTGCGTACCTATTATACTATCCAGCCATTTCAAATTTTGGATTCAATTGGGGGTGTCCGTATGGGGCTGGTACTCCCATCTGCGCTCAAGAGCTTGAGAACGAGGACTTGGCTGGAGAGATTGACTTGAATCGCGTATTTGGGTCATCGGGCGGTGTTTGCCCAGCAGCATCCCCCGCTCCGTCTGCACAAGCAACCGACAATCCGACATTTGATCCAACCTTATCACCAACGGAAACGAACGACGAGTCAACTTCTCCAACATTATCACCAACTCAAATGCCAGTTTCAGGATCTCCACCACCACCGACGAGTCGTCCAATAGACGTTCAAGAGTCTTCGCCTCCAACGAACAGAAAGGACGAATCAGCTTCTCCAACAGTTTCACCAACTCAGATGCCGTTTTCAGATGATGCCCCAACTCTATCATCTCCCGAACCACCCACCAATGGTAAGTATATCAAGCAAGATTGCATTTCAACACTGGGCGATAACTCTCACTCCATTTTTTTTAGTCGTCGATTCAGCTACGCAGACTCCAGGGCTGGGAATGCTCCTTTGGATTGGAGTATTGTGCACTGCTCTAGCTCTGGTTTAGAAACTGCCGTACTACACTAAGGTATCCAGAACTGTGGGACCAAAGGGACCATCATATTTGTTCAGCCATCGGCCATGCAATCCAGACTAATGGCAAGGACAGAATCAGCTGAAAAAAGTTCTAACAATATACTATGTATGTACTTCCAAGACAGTGGAAAATCTTTCCGACTTCTGTAGTAATTTCGTTCGCTGGAGCCTAGTCCAAGTCTCCCAATTCTTACTTGCACTCTGTGCAACAGTCACAGTGGACGCCCAATTCACCTTCCACATTTGTCTGGGTACAGGTCGCACTCAGATAGGCCAACTTGCGTTCCGTGGCCAGCGAGCAAACAGAATGGGGCATGGTCCCAGACAGTTCATTGGCGTGCAGTTGTATTTCCTGCAAGTATTTCGCGTTGGAAAATACGTTCGGAATCGTACCAACGAGCTGATTATGGTTCAGAGTTAGAAGCTCGAGGTGGCTCAAGCTGGCAAAGTTGTTGGAGAGGTGTCCCGTTAACGAGTTGTCGTGGAGGTGCAAGGTTTCCAACCGGGCCATGTCGTAAATGCCAATGGGCAAAGACCCGCCCAATTTGTTGCCCGCCAAATGCAGAGTTTCCACACGGTCCAGATCTCGCACACTGTCGGGAATGTGACCATACAAGCTATTGTATTCGAGACGAATCTCGCGCAGTTTGGTAGCCGTTCCCAATTCAGGAGGAATCGTACCAGTAAAACCATTGTGTCCAGCATTCAACACATGGAGATCGGGCGAAGTTGTCAAGAGAGTGACTGGAATACTTCCATACAGTTCATTGTGAGCAATCGAAAACATCCGAAGTGCCGACCATCCACCCAATTCCTCGGGAATCGTTCCTTCTATTGCATTGTCTTGAAGGTCCAAGAAAAACAAAGCCTCCAAGGCATTCAACTCGACCGGAATGGTACCCTTGACTTGATTGGAGGACAAGTTCAATTCAAAGACTGGGCCGTTGCCATGATGGGAAGTAATATCCGTCTCTGCGCCCAAGCATTGGACGCCGTACCATTCGCAGTATCCTGCATTGGTCAACCATCCATCGGAATTGGCCCAATGCATTCCGTTGGTGGCATGATAGATCACAGCCAATGAATAGCGTTGCGCCAGGTAGGGATCTTTGGCCTTTGTGGATGTTTCAAAGGTATCTTGTGATAGCCACTGGAGGGCGGCGGCTTGGGGAGAATCGGCATCTCGCAGTGCTTCCTCGATCAAGACACCATTCTTGGTCAAGGCCTTTTGCACGGCACTGGCATGCTTCTCCAGGTCCGTGACGTCAATTTCCACCGATTTCTCTGGCTTGAGGGACTTGGCAAAGTCGTAAATGTAGTATCCAAAGACAAAGACAACACTCAATAGGATGAACCAAAGAACTAGGTTCCACAAACAGGTTAGATAGGACCAAACACTTTTGGGTTTGACCTTGCGATCAAGGGCATCGTCGGCGTCTCGAGAATCCGCATCGTACCAGGTTGCTGCTGTTGTTTTTAGTTTCTTGTTGTTGTTACCAGTAGTAGTAGTAGTAGTAGAAGCTCGGTTGTTCAGGTTGTTGCCTCGGAGAAAAATGTCCGAAAAGGATTGACGAATCTTGCCTTCCGCTGCTGCTGCACCACCCAATGCAGCAGCATTGTGGAGATTAATGCTATCATCCAATTGCGATCGATGAGAGGAATCCCAAAGAGGCTTGTGGTGATGGCTACTTTTGGTAGGAAAGGGACCACCCAACAAGACGGCATCATCTTCGTCATCGGCTTCGTCCCACAAGAATTTGCGAGCGGATTCCACAGCGTTGCGACTACTACTACCAGAACGTTCCTTGAGCTGTTCCAAAGAATCATCACTATCTGATTCACTGTCGCTATCAAAGTTATCATCTCCAATCGCCGCCTTCATCAACTCGAGTTGACGATCCACCTCCCGTTGTCGCTCGGCGTTGGATTTCTTACTGTTCTTGCTGTGGCGTTCACTCATGATATTGGTGGTGCTGGCTGATGACGACAACGGTTGATGATTGCAATCTTGTTGTTGTGGTTGCTTTTTTCTTTCAACAAGAGGTGTTTTGATGATAAGAAGGGAAATGAAGGATGCACCCAAAAGTAAGTGGATGTCTTTTTTTTTTCTCACTTTGTGGTGTTGTTTGTTTTTTACCCAATGACTGCATTTGATGTGAGACAACGAAAAGATTGACGCGAATAGTTTCCCCGTATTTTGTCTCTTGTGACTTTATCCCTATATATTTTCAAATTTTGACGTTCGTTCGCAATTTTTCCAGTCGTTTCGGGAGAATTTTGTGACGGTGACCGAAACTTTCCGGCAAGGATGGATGTCTCCCATCAACATGGGTTCACGTTGAGGATTCGATGGAGCACATTTTTTTGGGATTAAAAACAGGATGAACTTGACAACCACCGTGATGATGATTCCAACAAACATGACCGAGGAATCATCAAATATTCTATTTGTCGAAGACATTTGCTGTGAAGTTATGGATGATCTATCATCATCATCATCGTCACGACCACCCAGCATGACTACCATCATTGCAATGTTTCTGCAAAGTGCCTTGGCGGTTCAATTGTTGATACGCTTCTTGGAACGAAAAACTTTTTCTTGGTCCATGTTACCATGATCCAAAAAGGAGGATTCGTTGGTCCATGGTTGAAACTTTCTGTTTTTGGTTTTGCTAGAGGCATTCGACTTTTTGATGGGACCTCATGTGGATTGATTGATGTCTCGATTGCCGAGGCAGTTTTGTCGACGACTTGATCGATTGGTCCATGTCATGTTGGAATGAATCACAACGCGACTGGTTGGACTAATTAGGGTTCACCCAAGCGCAACTCTTTTTGGTTTGGGGGATCACGTACGTGACGAAGGGTTTGGCTGTGCAGTTTTCGGTGTAGTCGTCTTATTTCGGCGGGCGCGATGTGCAATAAGTAGTCCACAAAAATGCATAAATGAATGGTTCACGATGCGACATTCGGGACATGAACAATTATTGGAGGAAGGCCCAACGGGAGAAAGGTTCACCTGAGCCAAGGTTTGTTTCGTTTGGGAAGTGGGTTACCCTACCAACCCAGCAAACTTTCACCGCTTGAAAGCAAACCTCCTTTTGCATTACTTTGAACTGTAGTTTGTTGCTTGTAACTGGAACGGAGTAACTGCACAAAGAACTACTTTAGCAAAGCAATCAGTCAATTGTTAGGATCAAACATTAGATTAGGCTCTTGTAGTTGATAGTTGATTGAACAAAGGAAAGGAAAAGAAAGCAAACACAACAACAACAACAACAACAGTATCATCATCATCATGAGCGAAAAGAAAACCAATGAAGAACGCCAAAAGGAAGTCGACCGTCAACTCGAATTGATGAAGGCTGCCATTGGCGATGACAACTTTAGTGATTCCGACAGTGACAGCGATGACAGTGAAGAACTGAAGGAACGCACGAACAAGAACGCGGCCATGGAATCCGCTCGGAAATTCTTGTGGGACGAAGCGGACGATGACGATGAAGTCTTGTTGGGAGGTCCCTTTCCCAAGGCTGCTCCTGCTCCTGCCACTAAATCTACTGCTATTGAGAGTGGAAGTGGAGGCCGCGGAATGTTTGGAGCTTCCCTCTTTGGAAGAGGAGTAGAGGAAGATGGTTTGGATCACAACATTAACCTCATGGATGCCAGTGAAGCTCATGCTGCTGGAAAGCGTTCCAGCAACAACAATAGCAGAGGTCGTCAATCGCTTTCCAATCTGTTCTTGAGGGGCAGTCCAGCGGTGGCCGCCTCTTGGAACGATGCCAATGCTCGGGATTCCGAAGAGTTTATCCAAGAGAGTTCCAAACGTCGTTCGTATCTAGCATGCTTGGGATGGACCTTCATGTGGTTGCTTACCCTAAGTCTCTTTGGTGTCTTTGGATATTACGTCTACGACTTTGTCCAAAGTTTGAAGCCCGCGCCTTCCGCAGTCAGTATTGATCACACCAGTCCTACCGATGCCGCCATTCAACAAGCTCTGTTGGACGCAGCCGTGATTACCCAAACGCAAATTGATGACCCTAATTCTCCTCAAAACGCCGCCTTGAAATGGATCACCAAGGATGGTACCCTCGCCGAAACCGATGCCTATTTGACCCAGCGATATGCCCTTGCGGTAGTTTACTATTCCACCCATGGCCAACAATGGGCCAACAGCGATGGATGGATGTCTACTTCAGGATACTGCCAATGGTACGGAGTCCAATGTTTAGGGACCGATACCATTATTGAACAAAGCAATGACAATGGAGCCGTCTTTGAATTGAATTTGTCAAGTAACAAACTCCAAGGTACCATTCCAACCGAATTGAGTGCGTTTGAGGATCTTTTCTTTTTGGACCTTCAAGACAATGCATTGGAAGGTACCATTCCTAATGAATTGGGTGGATGGACCGGACTTCGCATGTTTTCGATTGCTCACAATGACTTGTACGGAAGCATTCCTTCTACTTTACTAAGTACCAGTCCCGACTTGCACGTTTTGAGTGCGGGACACAACAAATTGTCTGGTTCCTTACCAGACAGTATGGGAAGGGTCGAAAGTCTTCGCGAGATTCGTTTGGAATTCAACGATTTGGATGGTACCATTCCTGATTCCTTCCATGCCTTGGATCGGTTGGAGACGTTGCACTTGGCAGGAAACAAAATTCAAGGCTCCTTGCCACTTGCAATCTATGATATGGATCGCTTGGAGACTTTGTACCTTCATGATAACGAGTTGACTGGAGAACTGTCTCCCGACTTTTCCAGATTGAGTCACTTGGAATTGTTGACACTTAATCATAACCGATTGGTGGGAACCGTCCCCGATGTCTTTTCCAAGACTCGCTTTTTGCAAGAAATGCATTTGCACAACAATGAGTTTACGGGTACCATGCCCAACTCGGTTTGTTCTCTGACTTCCGGAAAATTGACCTATCTCAGCGCCACCTGTACCGAGACAAACAATGTGGGTGAAATGGGTGTCCATTGTGATTGCTGTACCGAGTGCATGTAAAAATACTACCGTAATACATGCTGGCAAAAAAGAAAGAAAAACCAGCCAGGATCCTTTAGTCAGGATGATCCAAACTAACCGTGTGAAAGCATATATACATTAATTAAAAAATACATCTATATAATTGTTAGAGAATCTCTACATGTATACCGCATGATCATTGGTATAGGTAGGTAGTGTGATGTTTTTTGGTATGTTCTGGTGGTACACGTACCTGGTACCATGTAGAGGAGGTTGGAGACAAATTCAAATACAGGCAACTTTTGAGAGAAGTAAGCAGGGTACTGCGATAGGCTTAAATATCCACCCAAACAAAAGAACCAAGATGAGAGGCTCGTCAACAACAACAAAAACAGCAACAAAACAAAAGAGAGACTGCCCAGACGCAGTCCCCGCACATCCGACACAACGGTCAACACGGCTCGGCCCGAAATTCATAGCAGCATGGCGACAGAAGAATCCAACCATCGTCAATGTACACACCGATTGGTAACGAATGAACAAGAACCATTGAAAGGAATACCAAAAATAAAGATTATTCGTTTGACCATTGATCCTTCGGTCCGTGTCCTAATAAAGGATTCCTTTCAAAATTGCCGCTTTTTAACACAAGTAGTCCTCCACAAGCATCTAACAGAGATTGGAGAGAATGCCTTTCAACGTTGTGCGGCATTGGAAACTCTCCAAATTCCACCCTCTGTGCAAGTGATTGGCAAACAAGCCTTTCAATGTTGCAAATCGTTGGTGGAGGTGAATCTCTCAGAAGGATTGAAATCCGTTGGTGTCCGCGCGTTTGAAAATTGTGTCAAGCTATCCATAAGCTCACTTCCTTCCTCTGTGGAATCCATTGGTGGATCGGCCTTTTTGAATTGCGAATCCATTGTGGAATTTGAACTCAAGATGATGCCCCGCGATGGCCATGGGATCGAAATGAAACTGGGGGACAATGTGTTTCAAGATTGTTACAAATTGCAACGATTGGCAATCGTGTCTTCTCCAACCAAACTAGTACCTAATACAAGGGGTCTCTGTCGCGGTTGTCTTACCCTCACTGATGTGTATCTACCAAACGGATTGCAAGAAATCGGTGCCAGCACCTTTGTTTACTGCAAACTGTTGCGGACAGTGTCCGTTCCCATGACAGTCAAGACTATTCGCAGCGAGGCATTTTGTAGCTGTTCGTCTCTAGCCGAAGTTGATCTCCGAGAAGGCCTGGAATGTATTGAGAGCCTTGCCTTTGGATATTGTGAATCATTATCCACAATCTCCTTGCCCACTTCGCTCAAGGTGATTGAAGATGCAGCCTTTGCTTACTGCAAAGGCTTGGTAGGAGTCGAATTTGGATCCAACATGAAAACTCGATTCGAAAGAAGACCTTTTTCCCAATGTTCCTCATTGGTCACCGTCTCCCTTCCTTTGGAATGCGAACCGGCCGATTTTACCATGTGCATGGGGCTGCGACCAGCCCTCAACAAAACAAGTGAAGACAAGACCCCGGATAAATATCACAATCGGTTTGCAAATCTTCCCATTCATGCCGCTTGTTATTATGTTTCGAATACCACTGTGGAAGCGCTGGAGGCATTATTGGATGAGTACGATAACGATGATGGCAAACTACTACACGATTCCTTTCGAATGACGCCATTTCACATTCTCGCAACTGCTGGAAAAGTGCGGTTGGATCTCATGAAGATTTTGCTCAAAAGATACCCTCTGAATAGTCTTCCTTTGAGAGATAGAACTTGGAAGACCATGATGGACTATCTAATGACGAACCGCAACCCACAGGTTAACCCATTGAAAGCTTTGGTGTATGAAAGGATTGTTGGTGCTGCCATGACTGGATGGGGCCTGCAAGGATGGAAATTGGACGTTCTGTCGCACTTGGAATTGGTGAATTGGGCCCGACCTCCAAGCGGACTCACTCTACGGAACCGTGCGTTCTTTTTGTCAGACCGCAGAAGAACCCTGGGTCGAATTCAAGATTCCATGGCAGCTTATCTGAAAGTGGAGCTCACATCGATTCTGGAACTTGCATTGTGGAAGAAGGAAGGAATGGAATGGTCAAATGGTGCCCTGGGAGAAATGAATGGAATTGATAGAGGCAAGTGTCGTACCACCTGCGGCGCCGATGCCGTAATTCCTCACGTCGCTGAACTTCTATGGGAAGCAAACACGGCGAGCAAATCACTGATTAAGCCTCTCTTGCCATGTGACCTTGACTGGTTCACTGTACAGAGAGATCGTCGATAGATTTGTGCTTTCTGTTTTGAGTCAGAAGAGCGGAGGAGGGCCTTCCTCTTGTTTGATTGTTATATGGATACCTTTCTAACGATGATTAACTTGGTTCTTGCTCTAGCCACCCCCCATTTTCCTATCAGGTCACATGACTCTGTTCGTACATCGAGTCAGTCTCGTTTCATTTCCTCCTGCCCTCCTATGGATGGACCAACTGGCAATTGACAAGCGATTGCAGCTGCGGAATAGTTGGAATGAGAATTTGTAGAATTATACCATGGATTTGACGATTAACCGATACCTACAAGGCACGTCATTGTACCCACAAAATGGCGGTTTTGTTTAGCAAACTTGACAGCATTCTTGTCAAGAATGAGGATTCTTGATGACAATTGTACTTTCTGTCACAGCCCTAATAAATGTTTGCAAAAATGGGTCATTTGGGGTGGGTCTCTTTTTTCACCATTTTTAGGTGGTGGTGTTCACGTTTGATTTAGGCTCACAAAATTTTATTTTAAATCCATCAAAGAAACCGAAAATGTATCACACAGAAGGGCGAAGAGTAACCCATTCATTCTACGCAGGATAGAATGAATTCCATTGCCCGTGTGGATACCGCAGTGTTCTTGATCCGAAGAAAACAGAGAGATGAAAGATTTTTTATGACAGTTTTTATTTACTGCATACTATTATAAGCTCAAGTGACAAGCGCCTCTCAACGGTTGCGGTTTTGTCACTTTTAGATTTGGTGTGGGTCTTCAATCCAGCGTTGATGTTGACTATTCTCACAAAATTGATTTGTTATCAAAGAAACCGAAACAAGAAATTAACTATAAAAACGCATCACATCCATTTAAACCAGGATTTACAAAATCGATTTCGTATCCAAGCGAATCAAAGCAAGTAATCTCAAAGCTTTTATCGCACAAAACCAAAAGACTGGCTTGCCTGTCAAACAAACTAAACCAAGAAATCTTTTAAATCGCAACGCAGAAGCAAAACCAAGAACATACTGCATAATGTGCAAACGAATCGATATGCACCAGAGTCACGTTGCCGTTTCACCAAAGGACGATCTTATAGAAGAAATTGGAGGAAAAGAACAGTACGATTTTCTCATTCTTTCCTTCTGCGAAAAGATCCAAGAGGAAAGTGAACTGGAGGAAATCTTCTGTCATCTTGACACTGAAGTTCTTGCATCCCGCATGAATAGTCTTGTCGATGTCGCCTTTGCCCTGACAGAGTCTCGATGTCAAGACGAAAAGTTGCGAAACGATGTCCTCCTCAAGAACTACTCGCTCCTCGAACTGGGATTATATGCCAGCCATTTTGAGATCTTGCAACAAATGTTTGAAGCCGCCCTTCATGAATCCTGGATCGAAGCTGAAGCCTTTGATCGATGCAAGACACGCTTCGAAATGCTGCGCAACATTATTGCAGAAGATGGTGTTGGTATGGAAGAAATCGCTCTATCCCATCGAGTCGCTGAAGTCCGGATCCTAGCTGCCAAGAGTGCTTGAGGTGCTCTGATTGATTCAGTAGAACATTGAAAGCATCAAGGAATATTTGTAGAATTCATACAATCATAATAACATACACATTACTTTTAGATAGTCTAGTCCTACTACAGTGCAAAGCTTCTTGAGCCTGCTTCTCACAAATACTGGGTACTGAAACGAAAAGATATGTTACACACAATTTTAGTTCATGAAAGATTGGGGTGATGTCAGATCCTCAATTCTGCACACGTAAGTTGCATCCGCTATATTGTTTCTCATTGTGAAGAAACGGTTCTTGTCACGACTGAGTTGATCCTCTTGTCTTGTTAATAAACGAATGTGTCGTATACGACATTTACCTTCTCCCAAACGACTCAATTTCCAGTAATTCTTGAGAGCTTTTTGTTGTGATGATGACGACAATCGTGAACAGTTCAAAAAGAAACAAAAGACGAATACAATTACCGTTACCATTGACCTTTACAATGGAGACAGAGGCTCTGCATACACTTCCCGAGCTAGTAGCCCATTCTCGGGATCAGCGATACCGAGAGCTACACGATCGGGATGAAGGCTTGAAGGAGAGCGAAAATCGGGAGAAACAAATATCAAGAAATTTGGCCGAAAACGTATCAACGCGACTGCCTCTACCCCTTCCAGTTCTGACAGGAGTGAACAGGTATTCTATCGGTGCATCCACTGGTATCAGCTTGGGCCAACTATACTGTGGTCCTTGTGCACCTACAGCTGATCCTTCAGTTCCTGCTGAAACTAGAACAAATGTCACAGACTCGCGAACTTATGGAGCACCTCACCTGTACAAGACATCACCAGCCAAAGCAACACAACAAACACATGTGACACCCCCCTTACCACCGCCTACAATGCTCTTCTCGGCAACACCTGGGATGAATGTTGATTATGCCTCTGGAGATGACAACAATCTCAACTTTCTGTATTGTAGCTTCATTTCTCCCGACTCCAACAAGCGTGATAGTTCTGGAAAGGTGACCATTGCAACATCGACAACTACGACGGCAAGTAGTCTGGGCAGCAATGACAGCAATGGAGGTAGCAGCCTAAGTGAAAGTGAAATCTTTGTTGGAACTTCGTTAGTTAGTCCGAATACGATAATGCCCCTACCGAATAACCCACTGGCTGTTCCATCACAACGCAGTTCAGTAGAAGTGAAATCAAAGTTCTTTGTGAAAGGAATTTGTTGCACCACCGAAGTCCCAATTGTCAGGAGAATATTAAGACTAGTCAAAGGTGTATCAAGGGTGCAAATTCAATTGATCTCCAAGACTGTTATAGTCCACCATTGTCCTGAAACAGTAACTGTTTTACAGCTGGCGCAAACCTTGGAAGACCAAGGATTTCCAACAAAGATTATTCACGACGGTTCCAACTTTGTAGGGACAGATGCTAGTGCTACAAACAGCACTTCGCTTAAAGGAGACATGGAACAAATGGAGCGTTCGAAATTTGTGGTCTCGACCCTTTCCGTGGGTCATGACTGGAGCCGACAGAATGTCCAAGACTTGGTGAAAGCTTTGCGTGATGAATACAAATGCGACCACAAAGTACGTGCTATTCACCCCAATTCAATCTCAAAGACAATAAAGGTGGAACATGATCCAATCGAAGTGCCCGTCGCCGATATTGCTGCGACGCTGAAAGCACAATGCAAAATTTCAGTTGTTGTCGCGGTGGATGGTGCCAGTTGCAACCTTTACATGCCCAAGGGTCCAGAAGGTGGAGATAGCACCACTACGGGTTCTGTCCGAGTATCATCGCCTAGTTTGATGCAAGAAGATACTACGTTTCTTTCCTTCAATGTTCTTCGCTGCAACGTTACTATGAGTGGAATATTTTGGATTCTCAGCTTGCCTAGTCACTTTGAAGTATTGTAAGTTTATTGGCTGCCAAATACCGCGGAGCTCCCACTTGAACGTTCTAAATCATCTCATCTCACCCTCTTTTATTTGCTGGTTTCAAATAATACAGAGAATCCTTCAAATATTTTGGATTGGCTTCAGTTGCGTTTGGACTACCTCCAATCTTGAAAAAAGCTTTCCGGACACTTCGTCGGTGTCAGTTTGATGCCAATTGTATGATGACAACAGCCGCGATTGGTGCCATAAGCTTACAACAGTACGATGAAGCAGCGTCTGTGGCCTTCCTCTTTTCTATTTCCGAGTTGTTGGAACGACGCGCAAGTCGACAAGCTCGCGAGGCCTTGAAGGATATCTGCGACATGAAGCCCGAGTATGCCAATGTCATCCATCCAGGGACGCAAGAAATCACAATTGTCCCAGCCGACAAAGTAATTCTGGGATCTCTTGTCTCGGTAAAGACTGGTGATAAGATTGCCACGGACGGTGTCATTGTTGAAGGCCATTCGTTGGTTGACGAATCTAGTTTGACAGGCGAATCGGTCCCAATATCCAAAGCTGTAGGCGACAAAGTGAAAGGTGGTACTATCAACATTGGGAAAACTCAACTTGTCGTCAGAACCACTGCAACGGTGGAGGATTCAGCAGTGTCTCGCCTGATTCAACTGGTCGAAGATGCACAATCGAATCGCTCGGAAACAGAAAAGCTCATTGATTCATTTGCCCGTACCTACACGCCTACTGTCATGGTCCTCGCACTTCTGATGCTCATGGTACCACTGTTCATCGGGTCGGAAAATGCCCATCAATGGATGCTGAATAGTCTCATTATCATTGTCATTGCATGCCCCTGTTCTCTCACCATAAGTACGCCGGTCACCTACGCCGCGGGGCTTGCGGCTACTGCACAAAAGGGTATCGTCGTAAAGGGTGGTGCAAAGCTCGAGGCAATGGGGAGCGTTGACAAGGTTGTGTTCGACAAGACTGGAACGCTGACTAATGGAGTCTTTTCCTTGGTTCATTTCGACGTTTTCTCTTTAACAAAAACACGCCGCGAACTTTTGGCACTCTTGGCGCTGATTGAAGGACGGTCCAGCCATCCCGTTGCCGCTTGTCTGGTTCAATCTGCCAAAGATGAAAATGCGCTCATACCACGTGATCTGATAATGTCAGATCATACTCTCTTGAAGGGAGAAGGGGTCAGCGCCAATGTCGGTGGTACAATTGTTTACGTTGGAAACCAGCGTCTATTTGCTCGGTTAAATCTCTTGGATTCACTACCAGCAAATGAAAGAGAGAAGACTAATTCTTGGGCCGGTACCGGATCAATGATTGGATTTATTGGCACCAAAGAAGAGGGCATCATGGGAGCCTTTTGCGTCAAGGACACCATTCGGAAGGAAGCCAGATCCGTGGTTCAGGATCTGCGAGATGAAGGTATCGAAATCATGCTTTGTACTGGTGATAGTTACGGAGTTGCGAATGCTGTTGCAAATGAAATTGGTATCGCTCCAGAATGCGTTCGGAGCCAGATGCTACCCGAAGAAAAGTACAAATACGTTGAAAACTTGAAGAGAACACCGGCAAGAGGCTGTGCTATTTGGCAAAAGCAGCAATATGTCTTATTCTGTGGTGATGGTATCAATGATGCGCCAGCTTTGGCCACCGCAGATATAGGATGTGCGTTGGGAGAGGGCGCGGCAATGGCAATGGTAACTAGTGACATTACACTGATGGATTCTAATCTTTCCAAGATCACGGAGACCATTTCTATTGGAAAGAAGGTACGAAAGACGATCAAAGAGAACATCATCTTGAGTCTTCTTGGAAAGCTGGTTGTTGTCGCTATGACTTTCAATGGAGAAATGTCATTGCTGTTGGCAGTGGGTTCGGATGTCGGAATCATGCTTCTGGTAACACTCAACGGGATGAAAGTCCTTTCATCCACCCACGAAGATCCAAAACTGGCTATCGACAAAAAACAGCTAAACAAGGACTTGATTGAAATGCAATCCCTAGTTGGTAATGATGTTGCGGGGGACGGGATCGTCTAAGCTAGTATCCGTCTTGTGTACATCTAGGGAACATATGCACAATGGCGAAAGTAATGCAACGAATGCTTCTTTGCAAGTGACTTTTGATGACAATTTTGAAAATGAATCAATCCATTTGGTATTATATACTGGTTTGTGTTTGTTTACGCAAACAGCTATTAATACAGATTTCAAACAATGTACCGGGAAAATTTTAAAAGTAGACAAAGTATGCTCTAAGTATTACAGAATACCGGTAGATTCAAGATCTGTTTGAAGGCGAGGAGTCAGTAGCGTCACACATTACCAGTCAATCGACACCACTGAAAAACTGCATGGAAATCAGGCTTCACGTTCGGTGTTTTTTTGTGCTTGATGTCGATCAGAACGACAAACTGGCGAACTGTTATCACTATGTGTGGTTATAAAAAGTAAATATGACCGAAAAGTTTGGTATTCGAATTACTTAACCAATTTGCTAAAAACGCTACAGCGATGGCGAAACGATAAGCACCAGAATATCTCCGGTGTACCGAAACAAGAACACAATATTCCAGACTCACTTTCACCCCCGCCAATTGTTGTTGCTAATTCTTCACAATCAAGAGCTAGGAACCCCTACAGTGAGCACTCGAAACAAAGTTCTACTCTGTAACCACCATGAGTGGTAGGAAAACCAATGAAGAGCGCCAGCAAGAGGTCGACCGCCAACTCGCGCTGATGAAGGCTGCCATCGGCGATGAGGATATCTTCGACAGTGATAGTAGTGACAGCGATTCGGATGATTCTGGGCAGCTAAGGCAGCGCTCCAACACCACCCGAGACGCCGTCGCATCAGCCCGCAGATTCTTGATGGATGATGATGACGACTACGACGACGCAATCGTGTTGGGGTTTCCCCGTCCAATGACACCGAAAAAGTCACCAGCCAAATTACACGTAAAAATGGCAGCTGGCATGGGCAATCAAGGCAAAGGAGCCAGAGACTCCATTTGGGATTCAGTTCGGTCAGACGGCAGTGAGCAGTCACAACAGCCACAGTCTGTTCGTCAATCTCTCTCCAATCTCTTCCTCCAGAGCAAACGTCCCAGTGCCAAGCGTCTCGGTTCTCCTGGTATTTGGAACGACGCCGACGCAACCGAGGGCGAAGAATTCATTCAAGAAAATTCCAAAAGCAAGTTTTCCTACCTGGCTTGTATGTGGGGCACCGTTCTTTGGCTCATTGCATTGGGGTCATTGTTCGTTTTTGGATACTATATTTACGACTTTGGCACGAGCTTTCAACATGCACCAGCGCCAATCGAAAGTCCTGCGGAAGAACATTCCGAAGATAGTAAAGCGGCTTTGATGAAGCACGGAGTTCTTACCGAAGCCGTTCTAGATGACCCCAACTCTCCCCAAGCAGCCGCTTTGCGATGGATAGAAGAAAATTCCTCCCAAGCTTCCTCCAACAAACACAATCCTTACTTGGCTCAACGCTATGCGTTAGCGGTAGTCTACTATTCGATGGATGGACAGCATTGGACCAACTCTGATGGTTGGCTTTCTAACGAAGGATATTGCAAGTGGTATGGAGTCCAATGTTTGGGCACCGAAGGCAGTATCGAAAAGCACTTTGGCAACGGTCCTGTCTTTGAGTTGAACTTGTCTTCCAATGAGGTGAAAGGTACGATTCCTGTCGAACTCAACACATTCAAAGATCTCTTCTTTTTGGATCTTCAAGATAATGCGCTGGAAGGAACGATTCCTGATGAGTTGGGTGGATGGTCGGCACTTCGCATGTTTTCGATTGCTCACAACGACTTGTATGGAAGCATTCCGCCTACTTTGCTAAGTACCAGTGCCGATCTTCGTGTGTTGAATGCTGGACACAACGGCTTTACTGGTACGATTCCACCTGAATTGGGAACGGCTACCAAACTGAGGGAGATTCGTCTCGAGTACAATAGCTTGTATGGTCACATTCCCGACAGTGTGCGAGATCTGGACCGGATGGAAACCTTGCATTTGGCGGGCAACAAATTGGGCGGGTCTTTGCCCAGTGGCATTTACGACATGGCTCGGTTGGAAGCCTTGTACCTTCACGACAACTCGTTGACAGGCCACCTCTCCAACAACTTTGCCAGCTTGAGCCACCTCGAGCTTCTCACTCTGAACCATAATCAGCTCGTTGGTACTATCCCGAACGTATTTGCCAACAGTCGTCACCTTCAGGAAGTCCATCTACACGGTAACGAGTTGTCTGGGAATATGCCCCGTTCTGTTTGCTCCCTTACAACGGAACACAAATTGACCTATCTTAGTGCGACCTGTACGCAGACGAAGGTGGAGGGTGAAATGGGCGTCCACTGTGAGTGTTGTACGGACTGCAAGTAAATACTAACGAAAAGTGAAAGAGGTTCAGTCATGGCACCAATTGAAGTAAGGTATAGCGTTGTTATTAGTTTACACATTTTATCATGGAGTAAGGTGACCACCTCGATATTACTTGTATTCTGGATACCATTGTTTTCTTTAGAACGATGTTGCTAATTCATTCCCTGTCTATTCTATGGTATAGAGACACCGATTCCATCTTGTTCTGTCAAATTTGGTAAAGAGTCCTTCTTGCGTACATATTTGTGTTTGTTTACGAAAACAGTACTCTACAGTATTTTTTTTTATTTAAATATACCAAAGGCGAATAGTCGCATGAGTCGATCCGCCGGAAATGAAAAACTGCATTGAAATTTGGGCTTCACGTTCGGGGTTTCTCTAAAAAAATCACAATTATGCATGGTCATGTAATGGTCGGTCTATCAGCAATTTGACTTCGGCTCAAATCGCAGCATTGGAAGATTTATTTCGACTGTAAGAATCATGTTTGGAATTGCCCCACATTTTGATCAAAGGGTTTCATGCAGTCGACAAACAGTTGATGAAAATCATCATCGATGTTGCAATATGCCAAAAATGGAAAACTTGCCAATCCGGCGAGCTAGCTTCACTAGAAAATGGTCATCGAACGATAAATATGGCAGAAAAAATTGAAAACGTACTTAACCAACTTCTGTTCCTTTAATTGGTCGTTGAACGTGAAATTGATAAAACTTAGGGACAATCACCACTGGAAAAACCAGGGTCACAAAGCAGAATATCTCCGCTACTGAAACAAGAAAACAATACCACAGACTCAATTTCACCCCCGCCAATTGTTGTTGCTAATTCTTCACAATCAAGAGCTAGGAATAGCTTCAGTGAAAAGTTGAATCACAGTACTGCTCTCTAACCACCATGAGTGGTAAGAAAACTAATGCAGAGCGCCAGCAAGAGGTCGACCGTCAACTCGCGGCGATGAAGGCTGCCATCGGTGACGAGAATATGTTCGATAGTGATAGTAGCGACAGCGATTCGGATGACTCTGAACAGCTGAGAGACCGCTCCAGCACCACCCGAGACGCTGTCGCATCAGCCCGCAGATTTTTGATGGATGAGGCAGATGACGACGACGACGATGATGCAATTATTTTGGGGCTTCCCTTTCCAAAGTCACCGAAACAGTCAGCACCATTGAAAATGGCAGTCGGCATGGGCAATCAAGGCAAAGGAGCCAGAGACTCCATTTGGGATTCAGTTCGGTCAGACGGCGGTGAGCAGCACGATGTCAACCTCATGGATGCCAGACAAGCCCACGCGGGATACCAATCACAACAGCCACAGTCTGTTCGTCAATCTCTCTCCAATCTCTTCCTCCAGAGCAAACGTCCCAGTGCCAAGCGTCTCGGTTCTCCTGGTATTTGGAACGACGCCGACGCAACCGAGGGCGAAGAATTCATTCAAGAAAATTCCAAAAGCAAGTTTTCCTACCTGGCTTGTATGTGGGGCACCGTTCTTTGGCTCATTGCATTGGGGTCATTGTTCGTTTTTGGATACTATATTTACGACTTTGGCACGAGCTTTCAACATGCACCAGCGCCAATCGAAAGTCCTGCGGAAGAACATTCCGAAGATAGTAAAGCGGCTTTGATGAAGCACGGAGTTCTTACCGAAGCCGTTCTAGATGACCCCAACTCTCCCCAAGCAGCCGCTTTGCGATGGATAGAAGAAAATTCCTCCCAAGCTTCCTCCAACAAACACAATCCTTACTTGGCTCAACGCTATGCGTTAGCGGTAGTCTACTATTCGATGGATGGACAGCATTGGACCAACTCTGATGGTTGGCTTTCTAACGAAGGATATTGCAAGTGGTATGGAGTCCAATGTTTGGGCACCGAAGGCAGTATCGAAAAGCACTTTGGCAACGGTCCTGTCTTTGAGTTGAACTTGTCTTCCAATGAGGTGAAAGGTACGATTCCTGTCGAACTCAACACATTCAAAGATCTCTTCTTTTTGGATCTTCAAGATAATGCGCTGGAAGGAACGATTCCTGATGAGTTGGGTGGATGGTCGGCACTTCGCATGTTTTCGATTGCTCACAACGACTTGTATGGAAGCATTCCGCCTACTTTGCTAAGTACCAGTGCCGATCTTCGTGTGTTGAATGCTGGACACAACGGCTTTACTGGTACGATTCCACCTGAATTGGGAACGGCTACCAAACTGAGGGAGATTCGTCTCGAGTACAATAGCTTGTATGGTCACATTCCCGACAGTGTGCGAGATCTGGACCGGATGGAAACCTTGCATTTGGCGGGCAACAAATTGGGCGGGTCTTTGCCCAGTGGCATTTACGACATGGCTCGGTTGGAAGCCTTGTACCTTCACGACAACTCGTTGACAGGCCACCTCTCCAACAACTTTGCCAGCTTGAGCCACCTCGAGCTTCTCACTCTGAACCATAATCAGCTCGTTGGTACTATCCCGAACGTATTTGCCAACAGTCGTCACCTTCAGGAAGTCCATCTACACGGTAACGAGTTGTCTGGGAATATGCCCCGTTCTGTTTGCTCCCTTACAACGGAACACAAATTGACCTATCTTAGTGCGACCTGTACGCAGACGAAGGTGGAGGGTGAAATGGGCGTCCACTGTGAGTGTTGTACGGACTGCAAGTAAATACTAACGAAAAGTGAAAGAGGTTCAGTCATGGCACCAATTGAAATCAGGTAATGCATTATTATTAGTTTACACATTTTATCTTCGTATTCTGGATACCATTGTTTTCTTAAAAACGATGTTGCTGCTTTATTTCCCTTTGCTACGATCCAAAGTCGTCTATTCGATCTTGTTTAGTCCAGTCCTCTCTTCTTCCTTAAGAGATCGGACCGTGAACTGAGTTCCTGTTTGCATTAATCGCTCCAACAAGGCAGTGCCCACTCCATACGATGGCGAAAAGAACCCACCGTTGTCGGTTGATGGCAATTGGTCCCTGGGTGAAAGGGCCAAGGCGAGGCCGCTCTCTACCAGCATGCGAGCAGTTTCCAAATATCCAACGCACCCCGTGAAGTACATCAAGGCTTCTACTTTACTTTGCTTAGTTCCAGTCCCTTGGGCATAAATAGAAGCAAAGGAGTCTTGTGTCATCGTTTTCATACTGGGGCCTTGTCCTGGAGCAGGCAAAACATACTTGTACAAAAGCCCTCCCGTTATTGGATTGAGGATGGCGGTAAAGAAAGCAATGGTGCCAAAAAAGTTGGTAAAGGCAGTCTTCCAATCAGGATTCGCCGCACATTCGGAATACGTCAACGGAGCACCCTGTCTCAAGGCTTGGCTCCAAGCCACGACTTTCGAGTTGACGACCGACATGACAAAAAAGGAACCGTAAGCTGGTTGGGAGGACCAAGGCAAATCGACCTTGGAGATCCAGCTCGGCAAGTTGGCGGTCACGGGAGACGTGTGCTCCTTTCCTTGTGGACTACATCGGAAAGGCTCCGGGGCACCTTCTTTTAAGGAAGGCAATTCTGAAGTCCCCAAGGCTAGTTTCATCGTCTCCAAGGTCCCTCCTGAAGGGTTTGTCTTGATTTCGTCGAAACACTGGACCGATGCCAAGTCTTCGCCCTTTTCGGTCTTGAGGAATTGCGCCATTTGAAAGACGGTCAAATCCCATGGAACCGAGTCGCACCCGCAAAAGTGCAGAATTTTAGCGCCTGTGGCTTGGGCGGTCGACTGCCATTGCTGCATCATAACTTGGCTCCAATCTTCTTCCCCTGTAATGTCGGCATAATGAGTTCCGAATTTGGCACAAAACTCTACTACCCCGGATCCATACTTCCGAAAGGGCCCGACAGTAGTAACAACGGCCTTTGTATCGCGGACCAGATTGGGCAGCGTAGAAGCTACGGCGGTATCGACCACAATGATGGGAGTGTCCATCAATTTTGGCATTTTCAGTTCGTCCGCTAGAGATTGCAGGACCTTGTTCAATTTATCCTTTGATCTTCCTGCAACGGCCCAATTGACTCCTTTTTCTCCAGAGCAACCATACGTTTTGGCCAAATGCCGGACGGATAATTGACCTGTAAATCCAGTGGCACCCAACATGACCACATCGTATTTGCGATCCTTTTGTGGGATGATGTCCTTGGCGTCAACTTGGTATCCAGAATCTAAAACAAAGGCGGAACTAGCATCAGCAGTTTTTGGACCAGAAATGGCGTTCTTGATTCCATTTCCAACTTGATAGATGAGCGTCAATGGAACGAGGACAGTCAACCAAACTGGTACGCCGATCAACGCCATGAAGGCAAATTGTGCAGTGCTGACGGGTGCGAGGGAGTTTCCGTCCCTTTCAACAGAAGCATGAATGTTGGCCTCCGTTGATCCCAACGAGGTGCTGGTAGTTTTCGCGCTTGCGGACAAAACCATGGTAGCAGGGCGGTAGCACTTCTTGGATAATAATGTAGGAGGATGTCGAAGGACCACAGGCGTTGTCAAGGAAATGGAAGGAGTAACGCAAAGGCAGAATGCCAATAGGAATGTCACTCCGAAGTGAAGTTGAGCAAAGGGACGCAGCTTGGATAGATTTCTTCAGAAGGATTGATTCGACTCTTCCTTCCTTTCTCACACTCAGCTCGGGGCTTCCGTCACCACACGAATACTTCTCAGTTGCCTGCCTCGGCAAGTCTTCGCAGATCCAAGAGTCGTTTGGCTTCGCAGCTTGCCCAACACTTATAAGAGTCAAGAGTCGTTTGGCTTCACTGATTGGAGGTTCTGATGGGTTCTCCTGGAAAAGTTCTCAGTTTCTGATCTACCCTACGTGGTGAATCCAGACTGAAATTTGAATTTTGCATCCAACACGTACTTCAGGTGCTGACGTTCGTGCAGAGCGACTGATTTTTGCATCTTGCAATAAGTAACGGCTGGCACCGGCTTCAAAGTCACCTGTTTTTTGAGAAAAACATTTCGTGACGTCGATGCGAAACTAACGTAGAGCTCTACGCTTCCTGGTACTCGAGTCATTTTCGTGCCTGACGGAATCCTTTTTGAAGGGTATCCAAGCACAATTCCAATCAATCGCACAATTTTCCTTTGCTTTGGATACCTTTGAAACAAACGTACCTAACAGACACCATGAAGTTCGCCGCCCTTGCCCTCCTTGCCGCCCCAGCCGCCATGGCCTTTTCCGTTGACACCATCCCAGGAGCCATTGACCCCGCTGGTCTTTTCGACCCTCTTGGTTTCGCCGAAAAGGCCGATGAAGCCACCCTCAAGAGATACCGGGAAGCCGAGCTTACCCATGGACGTGTCTCCATGCTTGCCACCGTCGGTTTCCTTGTTGGCGAAGCCGTCGAGTCCAAGACTTTCCTTTTCAATGGTGAGATCACTGGCCCAGCCATCACCCACCTTGCCCAAGTCAACCCTACCTTCTGGTTGATCCTTGGTGTCGGAATTGCCCGTGCCGAGCTTGACCGTGCTGAAATCGGCTGGGTTGAGCCCGAGAACGTCCCTGTTGACAAGCCAGGTCTTCTTCGTGACGACTACATCCCAGGAAACCTTGGATTCGATCCTCTTGGCTTGAAGCCCGAAGACCCAGAAGCCTTCTTTGAAATGCAAACCAAGGAACTTCAAAACGGACGTCTTGCCATGCTTGCCGCCGCTGGCTTCTTGGCCCAAGAACTGGTCGATGGCAAGGGTATCCTTGAACACTTGAATGCCTAAGCAACCACTTGGGACACCTGACGACTAAGGTATCCATCCAATAGTGTGCTAAAAACTGCTAGAATCATATTGAACTTTTAAAATATTTGACCATGAATCCTTTGGGATATGTACTGTAGCTTCTGACAAGGTTTATATGCACCAAATGCCATGCGGAGCTTATCAGTATTATACATTTTTGCAATGATCATACATGTATGGTGACAATCCCCACTGATGATAATGACTATTGATGATGATGTCGGTGAATGGTGACAATCAATCCTGAAAATGTGCCCTGATAGTGGTTTAATTAACTTATGACTTGAGAGATGATGAACTCTTTGTTTCCGAGGCCAGTTATCGGTCAATCGGATATTTTTTCGTCAAATTTTTGTCACGTCCTCGTTGGTATTTCTACAAGACCTCTAAAAAAGCGACTTGCCTGATGAATAATTTAGGAATAATTTCGTTCACAAACTTATTTCATCCATGTACAATATCTAGTACGCCATGCGTTTCACTGATTGAAGTATAGATTCCATGTGTCATGGTCTTGGAATATTGACGTCCTCATCCGGGAAAGTCTCTCATGTCGAGTTCAAAATAAACAGCAATGACGGATCGTTTTCCCTTGTCAGCAGTACCAGAATAGCAGTTTAGTCAACATCTTGTACGCTTGAGGCTCTTGATATGGGCGATAAATGCAGTTCGCCGTCGTTTGCATCATCTACTAGCTAGGATTTCAAGACAATGATTCCAGGGAAGAATCCTTGTCGGTTCACTTGTATGATATGTACACAAGACATTACCTTTGCAGATTTTTTCCCCCTTCGGTCTGGTATCAGGCTTGTTCAATGTATCAAGTTTGGGCGGCATAGATCCACTTGGGGAAAAATTGACGACGACATGACCATGCGGGAACTGCCATAACAAACGGCAGCACGAGTCAGCCTCCTGCTTCTCTTACACTTCGAAAGCCTTCTAGGTGCCATGATCAAGATTCATTGGATACATCGTATGATGCAGATGTCATCGCCTTTCTGATAGATGCAACACGAATGAATAAACTCGTCACTGTCAGTAACACATCAACAATTCGAAAATGTGACAGGCGTCATCTCCATTGATTTCTACGTGATTCAGTACATTGATTCTCATTGGCCAAAGCCGAACACATCACACCGGAATTGGATTCCGACCAGAATCTGCAAGTTCGTTTTCATCGCCAAGTTGCTCACAAAATCAAATCAAAGACTCTCTGTACATCGAACAAAACACAAACACATACCTACAAAATGAAATTCGTCGCCCTTGCCCTCCTCGCCGCCCCAGCCGCCATGGCCTTCTCCGTTGACACCATCCCAGGTGCCATTGCCCCCACTGGTCTTTTCGACCCTCTTGGCTTCGCCGAGAAGGCCAATGAAGCCACCCTCAAGAGATACCGGGAAGCCGAGCTTACCCACGGACGTGTTGCCATGCTTGCCTCTGTCGGCTTCCTCGTTGGTGAAGCTGTCGAATCCAAGACCTTCCTCTTCAATGGTGAGGTCACTGGACCTGCCATTACGCACCTTGCCCAAGTCAACCCAATCTTCTGGCTCTTGCTAGGAGGCGGTATCGCCAAGGCCGAGACCGAACGTGCCAAAATCGGCTGGGTCGAGCCCGAGAACGTCCCTGTTGACAAGCCAGGTCTTCTTCGCGATACCTACATCCCAGGAAACCTTGGATTCGATCCTCTTGGCTTGAAGCCAGAGGACCCAGAAGCCTTCTTTGCTATGCAAACCAAGGAGCTCCAAAACGGACGTCTTGCCATGCTTGCCGCCGCTGGCTTCTTGGCCCAAGAACTTGTTGATGGCGAAGGGATCCTTGAACACTTGAATGCCTAAGCAATCACTTGGAACGCCATCTGACGACCACCGAGGTCGTCGTATTCATCCAATTGTTTAGGTTGCTCATAACTGCCAACAATAGAATCATATATATCAAGCCTAAATAATATCACATTGAATCTTTTTAACATTTGACTACATACGAAGCATATGTGCAATCTCTTACAAATAGTGGGCTCATCAATCGATTTAAAATTCATCTACCGATTATGAAACAGATATAAAATGAGACAGTTAAGGAGGGCAATTTACTTGTGAATGAATGGTGACAATGAATGGTGACAAAATAAATGATCAGAATAAATGGTGTCAGCACATTTATTCTTTGAGAACCAAAGGTGACTCCATGACCAACTGTCGACTATTCCGATATCTGTTGTCGTATTCTTGCCACGTCTTCATCATTTGATTTAGAATTCGTCTACTGTTTTTTGAAACAGATATAATGCGACCGTTGAGGGCAATTTACTTGGCAATGAATGCTGACAGAATGAATGGTGACAATAAATGGTGCCAATGCATTTATTCTTTGAGAACCAAAGACGACTCCTTAACCAATTGTCGGCTATTCTGATAGCTGTTGTCGTATTCTGGTCAGGTCTTCAAATTTCTAAGGGATATCTCAAGAAAAAGTGCAAATCAAATTTTAGGCATTTCATAAAAAGAAATTGGTTCCACCATAAATTTATTGCATCCATTAACATCATGTAGCTCGAATTTTGCCCTGAAAATCACTGAATCAACGAAATTAAATCTAGTTGTCATATAAAAGCAAGTCTGCTGTTGTCGGCGTACATAGTCTCTCATGATTGAGCCATAATAACCAAAGCAAATCAGTTTCTCTTTTCAGTTTTACCAAACAATGGGTTAAATCATATTGTTGCAAGTTTAAGGCTCTTTATCTTGCCGAAAAGTACAGTTCGTCGCATTGTAATTCTGCGTCGTCGAAATATCAAGAATAAAACTCTAGGCATGAAATTTCTTGGTGAAGCTTGTATCTACACAGGCATGTCCTCTAGAGAAACCCATTTCCTTGGGTCTGGTAAATCCATTCATCAGTTTGCATGTCGGATTCATTCAATACATTAAATTTGGGCGCCATAAGATCCTTTTTTGAAAAATCTGACGACGACATTGACAATTTGGAAAAATATTGCAATCCGCAGCAGTGTTCAGGTCCTGCTTCTCTCCAGGTTGCCGCATAATTCCAATCCTCTTTTCCGTGTCATTATCAAGAGGTGTTGGGTACATCGTATGATGCACATGTCATCGCCTCTGAGGTTGCATGCAACACCACGAACAAACAAGTCTCGTCATTTTGTGAAACACATCAAAATTCGAGTTCTCATCGTTGCGTCATACGTCAGCACCTTTCATTCCCGCCTGATCCAACCCATCGATTCTCATTGGCCAAACCGAACACATCACTCCGATCCAAATTGGATTCTGACCAGGTGTTTGAGAATCTTCCGTTTTCATCGGCGGCTTTCTCATAAAATCTTTTTTGTACGCAAACAGATACAAAATGAAATTCGCCGCCCTTGCCCTCCTTGCCGCCCCAGCCGCCATGGCCTTCTCCATTGACACCATCCCAGGTGCCATTGCCCCCACTGGTCTTTTCGACCCTCTTGGTTTCGCCGCCAAGGCCGATGAAGGCACCCTCAAGAGATACCGGGAAGCCGAGCTTACTCACGGACGTGTCTCCATGCTTGCCACCGTCGGCTTCCTCGTTGGTGAGGCCGTCGAGTCCAAGACTGTCATCTTCAACGGTGAGGTCACTGGACCCGCTATCACCCACCTTGCTCAAGTCAACCCCGTCTTCTGGGTCTTGCTAGGAGCCGGTATCGCCAAGGCCGAGACCGACCGTGCCAAGATTGGCTGGGTCGAACCCAAGGATGTCCCCTTTGACAAGCCAGGTCTTCTTCGCGATACCTACATCCCAGGAAACCTTGAATTCGATCCTCTTGGCTTGAAGCCAGAGGATCCAGAAGCCTTCTTTGAAATGCAAACGAAGGAACTTCAAAACGGACGTCTTGCCATGCTTGCTGCCGCTGGCTTCTTGGCCCAAGAACTTGTCGATGGCAAGGGAATCCTTGAGCACCTTGCTTAAGTGATGGATGACATTCGAAAGCTCGGATGATATCTTAGCACAATGATAGTAACTTGTAATAATTGATTTTGATCCACAAAACGATGTGTTCTTATAATAGGTAATATAATATATCAGGTAGTTGGTCGAGACCATGTTGTGGCCTGAAACCCTCAGCATCCTACGGGTACCTGAGACACCTGTCGACTGGGGCAAGGCATCCAACGTATCAAACTGAAATCTTATTGATCTTTGACGTTTTACTACGGCCAAGCATGTGTTGTCTTTCATAGGTAACCAATCTAAATGACCGATCATGATGGGCTCATTATTGGATATTTGCAAAACGAATTCACCTGTAGTTTGTCAAACAGCTGTCATTCAGAACTTGCCAGTGTTATAGCTTCTTTATCTTCGTTTTCGTACTGTCGAAGGTAATCTATGGTGATGATGTATGGTGACAATGGATAGTGCTGTCAATGGCAATGCATGGTGACATGGTGTGGTGACATGGTATGGTGACAAGGTGTGGAGGCAATGAGAGTATCTATGGTAACATCCTTTGCGGTGATGTTGGTTTTAGTTTTATGATGGAGCAATGGTGAATCCCTGTTTCCATGATCAGCCTTTGCTCAGTAGAAATACGTTGGCAAATTCCTTCCCCGTCGTTTGTAGTTTTGAAAGAAAACCCAGACCAAGTTGGAGATACTTGATGAAAGACGTTGGAATCGTTTCTTTTCAACCTAGACTGCACCCATGTGCAAGCTCGAATCTCAATGAATATCAGTGAGTCAAGGCAGCACAATGTATTTTTCATGCTCTAGAAATACTGTGGTAGTGGTCGTCGTCGTCGTCGTCGTCGTCATACGAATTTCGCTCATGACGGGGTCACAATTCAGTTGCGAATGAATCAATCAATCAATCAATCAATCAATCAATCAATCAATCAGTTTTGCTTCTTAGTGCCACCAGAAAATGGATTTCATCGCATCGTCTTGTAAGCTTGTGAATCTTGAAGATCTTGAAGATCTTGAAGGCCCTCACGACTTGATCTTGGAGAGAAGTGCAGTTCGCCGAAGTATGCGTCGTCGAAAAATATCAAGAAACAAGGAACCTTGCATGCATATTTTCAACGTCGTGGCACGCCTTCGTAGCCCTTTTTGAGTCCCATCATCGAGAGGTATTGATTGGGTCTATGATCAGATCCTTTCTTCTGTCTGAGGTTGCATTCAATACTCATCATTCAACACTCGTCATAGTCGGCAGCACAGCAAAAATTCGATCGGTTTCCAGGGTGTTTGGTGTAGTCAGCAAAATGTGGCACACGTCATCTACGTAAATTTGCACGTGATCCAGTACATCGATTCTCATTGGCCAAAGCCGAACACGTACAGTAAATCATGATTCAATTCTGACCAAGGATCTAAAAATTCCGTTTTCATTGCCCATCATCCTCATAATTCCGATTCGAAGACCCTTTGCAACGAACAGACATTAACAAATACACAATGAAATTCGCCGCCACTCTTGCTCTTCTTGCCACCCCAGCTGCTGCCTTCTTCAACAAGGGACCTGCCAAGGTCGCAGCACCTGTTGTCCCAGCTTTCTCCGTCGATACCATCCCAGGAGCCATTGACCCCACTGGTCTTTTCGACCCTCTTGGTTTCGCCGAGAAGGCCGATGAAGCCACCCTCAAGAGATACCGGGAAGCCGAACTTACCCATGGACGTGTTGCCATGCTTGCCTCTGTCGGTTTCCTCGTTGGCGAAGCCGTCGAGTCCAAGACCTTCCTTTTCAACGGAGAGATCACTGGCCCCGCCATCACCCACCTTGCGCAAGTCAACCCTACCTTGTGGTTGATCCTTGGTGTTGGTATTGCCCGTGCCGAGCTTGACCGTGCCGACATCGGCTGGGTTGAGCCTGAGAACACCCCTGTCGACAAGCCAGGTCTTCTTCGTGCCGAGTACATCCCAGGAAACCTTGGATTTGATCCTCTTGGCTTGAAGCCCGAGGACCCAGAGGAATTCTTTGAAATGCAAACCAAGGAGCTCCAAAACGGACGTCTTGCCATGCTTGCCGCCGCTGGCTTCTTGGCCCAAGAACTTGTCGATGGCAAGGGTATCCTTGAGCACCTTGCTTAAGTAATGGATGACATTCGAAAGCTCGGATGATATCTTAGCACAATGATATTAACTTGTAATATTAGATTTTGATCCACGAAAACGAAGTGTTTCAATGAGATGTCTCCATTGCCTATAGCTCTTCGCTGCTAGTGGGTATCAATTAATAGGTTGAAAACTTGTTACGCAAAATTCTAAGATCAATTTTCTTTGAAATAGTTACATTTGAGACCGCCCTAACATAGATAAATTAGGGTTGCATTGTACAAAGTGTCTACGGCTGTATCCTGCGGTCATTACTGTCGTATAGTAACTCTGGGATGCATTCATAGCATCGTCATACGGAAGTAGACTGATGACTCTTATCCTTGGTGTAAGAGCACTTTGTCTAATGTCATTCCCGCGACATCAGTCACGAATGTCAGTTTTCGTACGCATCATCCATCATCATCACCATGCATACCAGTACATATACTGTGTGCACCCCATCGCCTACAAATCAGTCGGGCAATCACATACTCTAGACTAGAGGATGACAACAAGACTAATCAGATGGACACTAGTCTCATGTCTACTATTGTTCAAGTGTTGGGAGACACATGCTCTGAAGAGAGGAGCCCCAACTTGGCGGCCACAATCTGCAACGACTGACGGCCTGGTCAGGCATCTCGACCGTGATTTACTGCGAGAACTTCGAGGAGGATACTACAATCAAAACCAACCAATCGAAGTTAATCCGGACTATGTCGATTACAAACCACCACCTCCAGGAGGTGCAATGGACGACCATGAAGAATGGTTGAGACAACAACAAAATCAGGCAAATTCACAGCCGATGAATGGCTTCCAAAGCTTTCAACCACAACAACGGATGAATCGAAACTCCATGGTGGATGATGTGAAGCAATATATCATGGCCGTCCACGATGCGAGTCCATGTGTAGCATGGACTGCATTTTCATGTATTGTGACTTTCATACTGTTTCAAATACCGTCGCTTCGACCGTCGTTAATACCGACCTTTGTCTGCAGCCGATCGAGCATCATGAGGACGGCAGGAATTTCTTTGATATTGTCAGCAGTATCCCATATATCACTATATCACTTACTTGGAAATCTGTTGACGCTTTTGAACATTGCACCCGGTGTTGCTCGAAACGTTACCACACCACTTTGGCCACTATTTTTGGGCAGTGCAGTATGTAGCAATATCTTGTTCACCGGACTAAGAAGACATGGATCTTGTATAGGCCTCAGTGGGGTGACCATGTCGATCATTGCGGTCCAAGCGAGGGCAGCGCCAATGAAAGTGTACCACTTTCTTCTCGCTGGTATTCTTCCGGTCAAATTGCAGGCCAAGAACATGCTTTATTTCCTTTTGGGCGTCAGCTTCCTGGGTTCCTTTATTCATGATTCTAAGATATCACATTTGACGCATCTGGGGGGCCTCATCTTTGGAATATTGTACTACGATTTGCATGTAAAGAAACACCGAAGGTTCTCTTCGAGGTTCACTTGGAGCACAGTATGATGCTGCTGACTGGTGACGCATAGCGCGCAGAAAGTAAAGTCTCACTATATTCGATGGGCTACAAGTGAAAGATACAAAAACTTACAAGGAACTTGGGGTGTATGCAACTCCTCCCATCAACCACCAGTCCAAGTCTCCTCCTTCAAGTTCGTCATGCTCCTTCTTATGGCAACAACCTTTGAGACTTAATGCGAGGGATACAAAACACTTTAGAGAATAAGTGCTTGGGAATATCTGATGGCCATGTTGTTACAAAGGTTAGCTCAATATAGACGTAATCTGATAACATAGCATCTATCGTTGTTCTATATATCTTGAGTCTTCTCCTTTTTTGAAATAAGAAGCGGTCTGTCGGTCGACCCCACAAGCCATCACCATTGAAGACGAAAGAACATCAACAATAATGAACAAAGCGTTGTCTGTTGTCTCTTTCCATTGATTATAGATCCCTCGCTTGTCCACTCATTTCAGATTGTGCTCAATTCTATTTCTCAATACATGACATCAAAGCTTTCATCGGCCTTACCAATGTCACGAAGGATTATATACACGATGTTGAGTTTATCCCTGGTCAGTGCTTCATTCCGGCGGAATAGTGCTGCTATGTTTGCTACAGCCTTTGTTCACAACGCTCCTTCGCGGGCAATACACAATAATAGACAAACCGTTTCTTATTCTTCCCTCAGCGAAGAAGAACAACTGACAGAATCCGGCTACAAGCGTCCTGGAGTTCAATGGTACCCAGGTCACATTGCCAAAGCAGAACGACAACTTTCCGAGACGCTCAAGGCCGTTGATGTGGTGGTAGAAGTCAGAGATGCTCGAGCATGCAAAGCAACGGCCCATCCTCGAGTGGGAGAATGGTGCGCTGGGCGACCAAGAATTGTCGTCTTGACTCACTTGGATATGATCCCAAAGGCTGCCGCAGCTTCTTGGAAGAAGGCGTATGATACATTGGGCGCAGAGCGATGGGACGATGCGCCAGTGAATACTCAAGTTGCCAATCAAGCGCAGCAAGCACGAGATATTCGATTTTCTTACGGAGACTCTCCTGATAACAGAAAAAAGAAGAATAAGGGTACAAGGGAGGAAGAAGGCTGGGAGAAGAAACCAAAGGTTGTCACTCCCGTCGACCAGGTCATGTTCATTAATGCAAAACAAGGACAGGGAATCCATGGCTTGCAACGGGCCATTTTTAAAGCCGGTGCTCATGTCCAAGAAAGACGAGAACGAAGAGGACTCAAGACACGCGCATTGCGTGTTGGCATTATCGGATATCCCAACGTTGGAAAGTCAGCGTTGATCAATCGTATTCTGGGTCGCCGCCGAGCACGAACCGCCAACACTCCCGGAGTCACTCGAAGTTTGCAATGGATCCGCGTTCGTACAGATGAAAGTAAGACGCAACGAAAGGAATTCGAGCTTTTGGATTCACCTGGTATTATACCTGCCAAGATGGTCGATCAAAGTGACGCCTTGTTGTTATCAGCATGTAATTGTATTGGCCAAGCTGCGTATGACAACCAATCTGTTGCTGCTTATCTTTGTGAATGGCTCAAGACGATTCATGTCATGGAAAAGGAGAGACTGACAGCTCCAGTGTGGAGAGAGAAGGTAAAAGAGCGATATGCCTTTGATCCTTTGAAACCCAAGGACGAATCGACTGGAGAACTTTTGACTGGCGAAGATATGCTCTTCTTGGTCGCTGATAACACTTGTCAAGGGGACCCCGAAGATGCGTCTCGTAAGATCCTCCAGGATTTCCGATCTGGGAGAATGGGGCCCATCTGTCTTCAATTGGCACCAGAGACGGAAGGAGATGATGGTCAATTGGCTGTGCCTATTGGTGCCAGTCGAATTACTGAGAATTTCGTCAGTCGAAGAGAAGAGCGAGAACAACAACAGCAAGAACGTGCACGAATGGCAGTGGAAACAGCCAAAGAACGAGGACTAGAGTTGCCACCAATCGTCGAGAATCCCGACAAAAACGACGATGATCAAGACATCGGAAAGGGAATGTTTGATGGTTGGTAGAAAATTTTGTCAATTTAGAATCGCATTGAACCAGGTATTCTATCTCATCATAGTCTCAACTTGATGTATTTGTATCATTTCTGATTTTCTGGGCTGTCAATAACCCAATTCTCATGACTTGTTGTTATTCGGCTTCAGACGAAGCGCTCGATGGGTCGATTCTGAGAATTTCATCATGCCATGTTTCCATAGATATCCATACTTTGCCATTATGCTTTCAACATTATGTTTCTCTCGTCATCCGTCCCCACCATTGCTGTACAGATAATAACATATGCGATAGGCAACCACAAAGAAAGCAATAATTCCACAGAATATCAAAATGTCCAACAAATTGCACAAGCAACAGTGCAGAGAGTATTTGGGGCGATTTGCATCTTCATCGGGTTGGATTATGTAATGCTTTCCAGTACCATGATGGTATTGATATCCATTTGGGTCCAAAAGGGATGACATACTGTGCAAGAAGAAGTTCAAATTGAAAATGATAATGCGTTGAGATTACTTCACATAATGTTAGTCGAATGAATCGATGCAATATCGAACGATTGCAATGACATAGTCTCTGTTGCAAGCTGTTGAAGTCCTTCACCTTCAAGGATGACTCAGCTCGAGCACATCTGAAGATTTCAGCACCGATGTGAACACATGCAATCACCTAATTGTCCGATCTTTCCCAGCACTGTGCACTAATAGAAGATATTGAACCCGCAACTTGGAAGTTCTTATTTTCTTCTTTTTCAACCATCGCCAAAACCCGTTGCTGCTGGGCTCATATAAGAGTCACTCAACACAATTCCCAATGTCTGACCAAAAACCGATTCAATGGCTGAATGGTTTCATCAATTTCCATTTGGGTCCAAAAGGGATGGCATGCAGCTCAATAAGAAGAAATTCAAAATGATATGCACCAAAAATAAGTGTTCAACGACCAGATGCCCAATGTGACGACTCAACGAAATAGCATATACGACTCTTCTCTCCTGTATCTTTCAATACTCGGATACTTATCCTTGCTCTCCATCTTCTTTTGAGAATCTCCAACCAAACCCCGCCGCAGACGTACTACCGTTTCGACCATTGCAACAATAACTGATTCCTGGAGTCGTAATCCCAACGGCTTTGCCAGCAGCCGTAATAGTATCAAATGTGGCAATCACTCGGCCAGTCTTCAAACAGAGCTGATCAATCTTGCGACGGCCTTTTTTCTTTCTTGGCAGTGCTGTTGACCCTTTGTATCGCCAAAAATATCCATGTGCTGAGCGATATCGGCCTTTACAGGCTGTAGTTATTCGGTTTCCTACGCCATTCTCAATACTTCTTGCGGCATCGGAAATGGAGTCAAAGGTGTTCAGAATTTGCCCCGTTTGCAAATCGAGTTGCTCTATGGGTTTCTGCCCTTGGTCGTTCTTCCATTCATACTCTAGATGCTCAAGGCGATGCCGTTCAGTCTTCCCATAATCAAACGCAATTTCGTGTTCGCCAGAATCAATGCAGAAGCTTTTGATGTTGCCTTCAAGCCAATTGCCATCCCCTTGCTTGATTCGGAGTCGCTTTCCAACCACTTCTTCGCTTGAGCTTAAACAAGGCTGACTCATCACACGGTATCGCCAATGGTACCCCAAATAGAAACCCTCTTCCCGGCAGTAGAGGCAAATGGTAACCCAGGAGCATTGATGCCCGAAGAAGGCTTGGGCTTCTTTCTCGAAAAGATGCAGCGTACATATTAAAACAAGGCGGATCATGCTTTTTCAATGGGAAGAATTTGAAACTTACCTTTCGAATTCTTGAAAACATTCGCGACATTGCTATTTCGTTTCTTCCTAATCTCCAACACCTTGATTGCACCAAATAAGTGATTCGGCACAGAGTCAGACCCTTTCCATCTCCAAAAGAATCCGTTGGCGGTTCCTCTCCCGACGCCATTACAGACATCTCGAATGCATCCCCTGTTCGGAGCCATACCCATTGCTCGTTTTGCTTCCGCAAGTGATTCAAAAGAAGCCAACACCTCCCCACTCTCGGGGTCCAGCTGTTCCACTGGATTTAAATTTGTTCGTTTCGGATCCGGCCATGGCACATGTGTCTCTCCTTGGTATCTCCAAAAAAAGCCACCACCATTTGCCTTACCGCGTCTCTCCAAAACTCGCTTTATTACAACCCGACTGATGCCCGTTGCTTGATGCGCTTTTCTGCCAGAAGAAAAAGTCTTGATAATTTCACCAGTCTCAAGATCGACTTGCTCTATTGGAACTCCTTCCTTGACCCCTTCTCCAACACGTAATATTCGGTCTTTGGATCCTTTGAATCGCCAGAAGTAGCCCCTGTGCTCGCGATCGTCCCTTCGTTTGGATTGACAAGCTTCGATAATGCGAGCAGCCTTGAAACCAGGCACTTTTATTGAAGCCGCTGAAGCTGATGAAAATTCCAATTCGACTTCTGCTGTCGTCCTTGATAATGCTTCAATAGCCCTGAATGAATCGTGCTCTGGAGAAAATGGTGCAGGTGCCAACTTGATGGGAATCTTGCAGAAGGGGCACTTTCCATGACCATGAATATGATCAGCAATGCATTGTTCACAGAAAATATGGTGACAAGACGTTGCATAGGGTACATCAGCGCGAGTTTTGCAAAGTGCGCAATGCTCCTCACTAGCAGGGACAGTAACTTGTTCCGTTTCATTGTGTTGCTGAGTTTCTCGCTGCACATGGGAAGTGGAATGTGCGCCAGCCTCTTGAGGGATAGATTCTTGTTCCGCTTCATTGTCTTGCTGCATTTCTTGCTCCACTTGGGTATTGTCACGACGCTTGCTTTTGATAGGGCGATCACCATCCAAAGAATCTCCTTTACGCTTCTTTTCATCGCGACATTCCACCACAACATCCAAAAATGGATGAACGTGTAAATTAAGCCACTCTTTCCCTCTACTTTCCTTGTCATACTTGACTTTATGCGGTCTCGCTTTTTCTGGCTTGATCTGAACTACAGTTGCATGATAATTCTTATTTCGCTCCTCATCATAGACGGCCACACGCGATCCAACCTCCAACTGCTCAGACTTTTTTGCAATTCGTTTGAATTTGCGAAAAAGAAGATCAGTCCATTCTGTATCTCCGTCGTCATATTTGATACGATGACGACCCTTTTGTGCAGATACCTTCCTTTTCTTTGCTAGGGACCCAGCATAATATTCTTTCTCATGCGGGAAATAAACAGAAATTCTTGATCCCATTTCAAGTCTATCAATAAGTGCTTGTTTTTTCTCATCCTTTTGTGTGTTCTCCTTGATGTAGTTATGTAATGATCGTCGCCACTTGTCCTCCTTGGCGCTTATTTCTCCTTCATCGCCATCATCATACGATATCTTGAATCGATCATCGTCTATTTTCTCCGCCACAGTTCCCTTATACCACTGATCATCGTCAGGCCAATAACACGTTATTTTCATCCCAATCTGAAGGACTTCTGTCTGTTTATTGGAGCTCATAGTCCCGGTTGGAAGTGGAAAATCTCAAAAAAGGTTTGGATGCAAGAGAGGCGATGCTGAATAAGTTCAGTTGTTGTGGCGGTCGTGAAGACTAGAAGTTGAATCAACGATGATATAAATATTTTTAAAATTGGAATTTGAGAAAATCTGTGAGGTCACGGCTCATGGTTCAATATTCCAGCCAATGAGAGCTAGTCGTATGGGTCAACTACTTGATAGGGGAAGGATGCAATGCTACAATGCGACGGCATGGTACACTTGTAAATACCGGAACTGTAGGTTTTACGAATGAAAGTCTCTGTTGAAAGCTTTTTAGCCACTTAATCTTCTGAGAGAGCTCTTAGCCAAGGTTATAGCAGGTAACGATAGAACATCGAGTCCTCCTCGTCTTCAACAGCTCCAACAACCTCGTCACGATCTAACCACCCATGTTTCAGTCCTTTGGCAACATTCCCTTCGTCATGTTGTACTCGTACGAAGAAAGTTTTCGTTCCAAAATAGTCCCCTTCCTCTTCTTTTTTGACTAGCACGGCAGATGGAGAAGAGGAAGGAAAGTATAGGTCCAAGTCGTTCCCGATTTGCTTGTCTATGATTCTCTTGGCAGTTTCTTGGAGCGATTCTTCCCCCTCGACAGATGACTGGGGAAATTTCCAGCTACCTTTGCCCTCGTCAAGCATAAAAAAGACCCGAGTTTTCAGCTTCCGATCTAATGTATTCGATTCTCCGGATTTGTCAGCTTTTGTCTCACGAGGCGCCGGGCGAAAATTCGGAGGCAACTCTGCAAAAACTTCTTCATCTGTTACGAGAACTGGGGCTTTTCTCGGTGGGACAAGCTCTTTCGGGTACTCTTTTCCAAATTGTGCAAAGTATGCCTTGAGTTCATCATAATCCTTCTCCCAGTCTGCAATGTCATCGAGAACAACTGGGATCCTTTCCAAAACGACTGCTACCTGAATCTGCCAGTCTTTCTTGGCCTGCCTTGCCTTTCGATCCAAAGAATCTTCATATGATCGCCTCTTTTCCCACCATTCTCGAAATTCTTGTTTCTTTACGTCTTTTGGAGAGTTATCTCGACGTTTTTTCCTTTCATCATCCTTCTGAAGCCGGTCTACAAACGCCTGGACACGCTGCTGCTTCAAAGTCGCCTTTCGTTCGAAATATGACGCATTGGTCGAGAAGCTGGGTTGGCCTATCCAACCTGTTCGTGCTGAAATGCGGCGTAGAATTGCGGTCCTTGAAGTTATCATCTTCCAGTGGGTCTGATGATTGATGGATGTGTGGTTGTTATTGTTTGGTGTGTAGATGATGCAGCATAGAGAAAGAGGTCGAACCATTCGTCTGTTCTAGTCGAATGGGTCGCAAATTCAGTTACCGGAGGGATTTGAGATTGGATAGAGGATATGCAATACAATGATGCAGTAGGTGATAAAGATATATGGCATTATGGATGCCAGTCTCTGTTGCAAGACTTTGAGGCACTCGGTCTACCAAGGTTTTGTCTTCTAGGATAATAACTCAACTTAAGGACGTCTGGTGAAGACGAGGAAATACTGCCAATTTTTACGAAGGCTTCATTGGTTTTTCATTTGACATTCTATCAGACAACATATGTTGGAATCTTATGCGCTATTCCAGGATTTGGCCATGTCCTATCGGCAATAATTAAGGATATCATTTTTCAAATGACTGATCCAATATCGGTTATTTTAAAATCCTAGAAAGCAAATGGGAAGTGACTCACACTTTTTCTGCTTGTAAGATTTCACCCATTGCATGACCTGAAGTTGAAAAGTTTTTTTTCAGAGTGCTGGCTTCATGATGGCTCGCCGTGCTTCCTAAATTGACAAATCCTTCAAGTCGAAATCATCGGGAAATGCTGTGGTGTAGACACGAAGAATTGCGATTCTGGTTAGCTGAGAAAGTTTGATGGATCACAGAAGAAAAATTCACATTTTACTGACCCAAGAATACCTTCTGATGCATGAATGTCAAGTCAAAACGTTTTTGTTTTGCAGATGTTTCGACAATAGTGCTCGGAACACCGCTATCTGGATTGGTCCCAAAGTCATGGATGGAAGTTGGCCGAGAACTGGCAGAGGTTTGGCCACGTTGAGAAGTGCTCCTTTCTGGATTCATGAATGCGGATTCTTGCTAGTGTTGATTGCAACAAGAGCCTTCGATGTGCAGGAGGTATAAGCCTTGCAGCAGCTCGAAGAGTGTTATTGTTAGGATGATACAGTATATATTTTTTATACATCAAGAGCTCGCAGATGCGATATGTGATGAATAAAAAAGCGACGCATCATAGAGTCGAATGGGTCGATATGCCAAAATGACGATGCATGCATGGCAAGCATGACTCGTCACTCATTCCGTCACATCTCCCATCATTATGGTATAAGAAAATACAGTACTGTATGGATCAAACCGGAAAAACCTTAGCTAGTAGGACTCTATTTCTTCTCTTTGGCATCCAATTTCTTCTTCACTTGCTGTAGCAAACCTTGCGCCGATCCCAGGTAGCCTCCTCCAAACAGGTTGTAGTGGTTCAATTGATGGTAAGCATCGTATAAAGGTTTACGATCTGCAAATCCTGGATCTTGGGGAATCAACTCTCGATACCCATCCCAGAATTTGATTCCGAGCGAAGCACACCAGGACATTCCCCATTCGGCCTCATGATGGCCCCAATAGACAGCGGGATCGTAAATGGACGGTTTACCACTGGCAGTTCCAATGTTGCCACTAGTACCCGGTATGCATCGAAGGAGAAGAAAAGGAAAAGAGTGACTGTAAGTCACGGAACGGCTCGGGATGAGAAGTGCGGAATCAATGCTTCTGATGTACTCACCTCCATAGGTCCCCATGAAGCAAGGAAGGTTTGACTTCGATGCCTTCGAACAGCAAGTGAAGCCGGGGTGCAATATCTTTTTCCCATAGTTTTGCACAGGACTTATCGCCGGCAAGTTCTATTTGATGTTCCATTCGATGCTTCTTGTAGAATTCAATCCAGTCCTCTGTGGTACCTCCGTCAGTCCAAGGGTTTGGTTGTGGAGTCCCTCCAATGGTATTGTCAACTCCAAATCCAAAGGCTCCCTTGGGATTTCCGTTGGCCTCGTTCGGCTTGGCCAAATGCAATTGTGCCATTGCCTTACCCAGCGCCTTTTCGGATCCTCGACCGCCCAACTGTAAAAAATCCATAATCAGCAAAGATCCACCACTGAAATCGTCCCAGTGGTGAACGTTGGGAATGGTCAAACCATCATCGCCACTTTGTTGACTGCACTCGTACATGGCTTGCAAACCCAAGGCTTCACCTTCAAACATTTCCTTTGCGGAACGAGTTGACGTCTTGACAAAATACATCTTGTCAGTGTCTTGCAGAGAGACTTTGCGAAAGGACGCCCAATCCGAAGATCCTGCCCAATCAATGCTCTTGACTTTATATCCAGCTGACTCGCAGAATTTGGAAATTTCTTCATCGAGAGCGTTTGATGCCGTCATGATGGTTCTACGATAATTTGTCGATGAAGAAGACGCCGCTGGGTGCTTGTTGTTGTTGTTGCTGCAGCTGCTGCTGTTGATGTGACTACTAGTGAGAAAAGCAGTGGTGCCAATGGGAGCAAGGAACGAGGTCAGTACTGTCGCAATTAAAGGTAGGCGACGACGAACTCTAGTGTTCATTTCGATGGATTGATGAGAACTGATGGAAGATATAAAACAAAAGATGATGACGATATATGGTGCGAAAGATCTTTTCATGTAGTAGTGACGTCTGTTTGCCGACGGAGTTTGAGTTCTCTTGCGGGACCTCGCAACTGATAAATAGGATGGTACATATTTTACCGTATGCGAAGACTGATGATTCTTACAGTATCTTATAGATCATAGTTCATAGTTCAATAGCACTTTGAAACTAAAGGAACCAGCTCTGGAAGCATATTGCAGCGCTCTAGCACGAGATTGTCACAACTTCAAATCTGGCTGTTGCTTTTCCAACAATACTGGTGGTCCTCCTCGTGGCCGAATAATATATTTTCACTTCGTTGGTATTGTCATGCATATTCAAATATGATATCCAATCATGTATCCGATGAAGGACGGCTACTTGGAAATCGTGACCTCAAACAAAGGAAGGCCGGACTTCATATCAATCATACCTCCACCAGACGACGAAGCTCCTCGCTTGTACTTCATTAGAAGATCAAAGAAAACACTTTCTTGCGAAGTGTTATAGTAGATTATTGACTCTCCTGACAAGAAATTTCTCCCTAGCTGTCTGGCTTGGACACAGCCGCGACCCTTGACAACAGCTTGAGCTTTCTTATCATTGTCGACATATGTCATTTCGCCGCAGATTCCACCTCCGCCATCAGGGCCATCGAATTCAATCGCAATCATGTATTCATTACCACATGACACAACCACCCCTTCTTTTCTTAGTTGGTAGTACGCTTGTAGTACAGCCTCGTGCAGAGCGTTCAGGTCATCGACCTGAGTGGTTAGAGCTGTCACCGGACCATCCATTATTATTTCTGCTTTCGTGAAGGATTATAGTGTGCTGGAAAATCGAATATCGATGACTAGTTCGACACGTCCGTCCAACTGGGCACTTATTGCGTGTTTCTTGCTGTGATGTACCGTACAGTAGTATCGGTACATGTCAGCATGTTAGAACCGATGATGTTTGCAGTATCTTATAGATCATAGTTCATAGTTCAATAACGCTATCAAAGTATAGGAGTTAGTTCTGGAAGCGTATTGCAACGCCGTAGAACGAGCTTTTCACAGTTTCAAATCTAGCTGTTTCTTTTCCAACAATCATTCTGACCGACCGCTGTGACTTCGTATTGTCATGAATACTCGAATGTGATTTCCATCCATGTATCCAATAAAGGATACTACCTGCGAATGGTGACATCAAAAATAGGAAGGCCGGACTTCATATCAATTAAGCCTTTCGACGAAGCTCCTCGCTTATACTTCTGTAGAAGATCAAAGAAAACTCTTTCTTGCGAAGTGTTATAGTACACTGTTGCCTCTCCTGCTAAGAAGTTTCTCCCTAGCTCTCTGGCTTCGGCGCACTCACGGCCCTTGACAACAGCTTGAGCTTTCTTATCATTGTCTACGAAAGTCATTTCGCCGCAAACTCCACCTTGCCCAACAGGACCATCGAATTCAATCGCTATCATGTATCTATCACCGCATGAGACAACCACTCCTCCTTTTCTTAGGTTGTAGAATGCTTGTAGTACGGCCTTGTGCAAAGCGTCAAAGTCGTCGATCTGAGTGGTTGGAGCTGTCACAGGATTGTTCGTTCTGGGTACCATAGTTTGCCCAGTGATTGGATGCTCGAAATATACCTTTTCAGAGCGGATATTGAGACGCTTCAAATTCTCAGGCTTGGCGTTTACAATCTCATAATTCGATTCACATCGAACTGCCCACCGCTGCTCGTCTCTCAGGAACTTGACAAGGTGGCCTGAAGTGCCATTCAGATGCGCGGCACCCTTGAGGCCATGAAATTCTACTGTATGTCCAGGCTGAGCGTCTTCCATTTTCGTTCGTGCAATATATCGCAATGTAGCTGGTAGTGGCGCAGCTCAAGATGACAATAGGTGATTGTTGAGGTTTTGTCAGATCTTATTCTCAAAATCTTTTGTTTTCAAATACTGCGCCTGCAACTACAGTATGTGATAACGACTAGTTCGACACGAAGAATGACGAGTTCAAAAAGATTTCATTAGATTATGGTATCAGGCATAGACGAGAGATGATCATTATGAGCAAGAAATTTTGATCCGGGGTACGGTGCTGTATCCTGAAACAATGTGCAAATGTTTCATGATCGACAATGGTGGATACAATGATGTCCCACCAGACATTATCCTGACTGAAATCCTACAGTACCTGGTACTTTACCCTGCACTTGTCCTACCGTCTTGCCTGCACAGACTCCAGGGTTGCAAAGCGACAGTAACGCATCATTGCCATTTGTGCTGGCATGCGCGCTCGTCACTCTGTAGTTTTATTAAAATATGAGGTATTGAGACAATTTTAGTTCCAATTATTTCAATGACGGTTTGTGGTGAAGATTGACTGAGGCCAATACTCACGGTCAACGAATCCGAAAACGAATTCCAAAATACCGTATGTAAATTATGTACTAACGTACAAAACCTACCAACCTTCACTGAAGCCTCAAATTCGTAATCCGTTGGAAGCTGAAAATCTTCCCGATTTGCCCGGCAAATCGGGAACATTTTCGTCAACGAACGGATTCCAACAAAACTCTAGGATCCAAGTCATCATGGGCAATACCCAACCCTACGGCCCTCCAACAAGGCTGATAAGCTGTGTTGATCCAACTAGTCCTACCTCAAGCACCTAGAGGAAGTGAAAGCCAGCCCCTTGTTTTCAAAATGGAGTGACACAGCCAAACATTGCACTGGCAAGAGATCTCATGCACCCACTGAGCTGTTACTTCTGGGGACTCTTGGGTATCTCTGACGTGGGTGGACACTGGATGATCTTGAGGAATCAACATCAATCTCAGAAGAAACCCACCGACGCTTTCTCCATGTTTATCATCATTGGGGTTCAACAGCTCTTTACCGCAAATATGTGTACCTTCCTGCCACATCAGAAGACGTTCGAGGAAGGTGCTCCAAAGAATATGCAAGGGCAGGTTTCAATCGTTGTGTTGGAAGTGGTGATGCCACCCACATTGGCACGCTGAGATATTTTTACCGGCTGAGGAATCACCATGATTCCTTCGAGCTTCCAATGCCCACACAGACACATAACATGACAGTCAACCACCGCCGGCGCATTCTCTCAAATACTAAAGGTCACCCTGGTAGATGGTTGGACAAGACCTTGATCCGCTTTGACAAACTTGCCAATCAACTCAGAAAGGGTGAACGGTATGGGGACCTCATTTTCACTCTTCTTGAATTAGATGATGATGGAATTGAATGGAGGGAGGTGGAATACGCAGGGGCTTGGACCATCGTTGACAACGCCTATTCCTGTACGAAGTCTCTCTATGAAAAGTTTTAGAACGAAACTGATCCAATATTTTGATATAATATGGAGGCAAAATGCGATTCAGTGGCCTTCAAGGAAAGGAGACAAGCCACCACCTGCAATCAATGTGCCAAATGAAAGATTTGTAGGTTAATGAAGAGTACTAGTAATCAACGGTTAAATAATTATGGTGTGGTGCTTATGGTTTAGGTCACAATCTCTTTGTTATTATGGCGCGGTTGAAAGCTGTCAGGAAGAGGTGAAGTACGAAGATGAAGGAGACAAGTTCAAAGTAGTATCCAAAACAGAAAAAAGAGGTATCTTGGTGGATTCTGATTGGTCTGATTCATGCTTGATTGGTCCGATTCATTCGTGTTTCGTTTTCGCAATCCGTCAATAACCGAGAGTTTGACGTGTTTTGGCCAGAAAAACGAATTGCAAAAAGTGTGCGAAAAACGCGCAAGGGCCGAATCCGTTTTTGGATTCGTTGACCGTGAGTATTGGAGATGAGGAACGAAGTACAAACAGCTTCGCTCGAAACACGAACACTAATGACTAAAAGGTGGCACGCTCGCACAGTACGGTTTCTGCGTTACAGTACAGTTTCTGCGTTCCTCCGCCACGGACCACCAGAAGAATATTTTAATCGCTTTTTTTTCAACCTGTGCAGTATTGCACAAAGCCATTTTTGGAAGCTTATTGCCACAGGTCGGAAATACTGAATATGAAATTCCCCACTGTCGACGCAGTCTCTTTTGAAAGTGCAGAGCCACCTGCGCGTATGCATCAAAGACCTTGTCTTTCACAAACCTATTCTCCGCCAATCAAAGCCAGAGTATGCCCAAATGATGCTTTCATGTATCAAGAAATGATCTCCAACCAGCTCCAGCCAACTGACCCATCCATTCGGAAACACTCAGCTGTCATCGTAGGTGCCGGACTGAGCGGACTTGCAGCCGCACGAGAACTCAAGAAGTCTGGTATGACAGTGACAGTATTAGAATCAAGTGATCAATCAGGAGGAAGATGTCACACCGTAAAACTTGCAGAGGGAGTATATGCAGAAGCCGGTGGAATGCAACTCCCTACGTCTCATAAGCTTATGATGGCTTTCATCAGTAAGGAAGAAAGAGCGACCATCCTACCTTGCCCTGACCTACAAACTTTTATCTCACTCTATCCCTTTCCTCATTAAGCCCTTTTCAGGTTGAAATATGCCAAGTTCGCAAACATGAAGGACAAGAGCGGTTTGTTATTTTTTGACGGCAAGAAGCGCTTCATCAACGAAGAACTTGCTGATCCTGAGAGCCTACTTGCCCAAGTTGTGCAGAAGTGGGACAAATCAATTGGTCGCATTTGTACTATGCTGAGCAATGGCAGCATCACCTGGGATGACGTCCGTAGAAAATACTGTGGAAAGAGCCTCCATGAGTTCTTGCTTGAGGAGAAGTGGTGCGAAGAGCTCATACAAGGCTTTTCCAAATTCGGTGTTGGACTAGGAGCCTATGGATCAATCCTTGAGCTCTCTTTGTTGGAGATCATCCGTCTGTTTGTCTCTGAGGATGGTTACGAAGCCAAGAACGTACAGTTGGTAGGTGGAATGGAGACTTTGACAAAGGGCTTCTTGTTTGATAAAGCGGTACCACTCAAGGAGTCCATTGTCTACAACTTCAAAGCCGCATCTGTTACTTGCAATGAAGTGTCAGGCAAATTCACTATTGCCAGCCTTGATTATTCAGTCACATACGAGAGCGACTTCGTTGTGATGTCGGCGCCATTGCCAGCGTTACAGTCCATCCACTTTTGGCCCCCCTTCCGTGTGGAACTGCAAGAGGCTGTCATGAATACCCATTACATCAATGCAATCAAAATATTTCTTGTGACCAAGTCAGCCTTTTGGTTGGCTCACGGTGTCAATGGAATGGTAGTCTTGGACCTCACAGGTGGGTACCTCATCCATCAATGACCGTCAATCACTTTGACATTTAAGACTCACATTTCCCTCTTTTTCAGTGCAAAACACGTACTTTGTACGGGAAGAATTAACTTGTGGAAAGGGTCTGATCATTGCCTCCTACACATTGGAAAATCAGGCCGAAAAGTTTTTTGGGCTAAGTGCTGAAGAGCAGATTCAAGTCGCAGTGGAAGAGCTGAAGACTATCTTTCCCGAGATGGAAACATCTTTTGAATCAGGATTTGTGAAAGAGTGGAGACAGGCATTCTGCAGGTTCTATTGCCGCAATACAGATAGCTGTTGGGAATTTGGAGAAAGCAGTCGAATTCCTTTGCTCTGTCCTGAATTTTTGTTTTCTCCAATGCGTTGATGGCAAGGTGCATCTCGGTCTTGTCGATGGTGTTGGATTGAAGGACCCAATTCAGCTTGTCCTAGTTCCAGCACCCTCCATGAAACGAGAGCGCAAAGCAACTATGTTCTTCAAATCAAAGAATTGCCACTGCGTTTTGATTCCAAGACACTTTGTTTCTTATCAAGTTGAGTTTGTCATGCCAGAAGACAATAATTTTGGTCAATCCAACACGGTTAGAAGAGATGGCGACAAATCAAACAGAGACAAAGTTCTTGCATTCCTCTCCTCGCCGTTGAACATGGTCAAGTGGACAGGACATCGAGCAATATCTTATTCCAACAAGAAAGGAGATTTTGTTGAGACTCGTCTGGGTCCAATGGGAGAGTTGGTTTCCAGTGTTCTTTGTGTTAGTGTTGAGGGTAATACAGTCCAAGTCTCTTGGCCTGAGAGGAATATCGAGGTTTCCTTTTGTTGATTGAACGTTGTGATCGGCAATTTATGCCTAACGGAGATTACAGTTTTGGTGCCCACGCTTCTGCCAGAAGTTATTTTGGCAAAAATTAAGAGAATCGTTTTGCTTGCGTTGGATCTTCTCAAGGCACTGCTGGAGGGAAATGAGATGAATGTCATATCTGATCTTGTCCATCACGGCATACAAGCCCACCACTTGAGCATCTACAATGCCACTCCAAGAAGTATCCTCCCAACAAATGCCGGAGAGAAGTTTTTGTTCGAGGGCCAGATATTGCGCCAAGGGGAGCTATTTGACACTTTTTCCACGGCCTTTGCGCTCACAATTAGGACTAAACCCGTGGCAGCACTCTGTCCTATTGGAGTTGTGGACATCCCCGGAGCTGTTGCCATTGCCAATGCGTACAACTTGCCCTTGGCTGTTCGTGGGTCTAAGGTCAGTCATTTGGCAGGAGGTCAAGCTCATTCACATCACGGGTTTGTGCTTGACATGTCCAAGCTTGCCTCGGTTGAGATTTTGGACAACCAACTCGTAAAGGTCGGAGCTGGTACGTACTGGGATGAGGTAGTTTGGCAAACACTTGGACAAGGGTTGATGCCACCTGTTGTTAATGATTACCAATTCTTGAGCGTTGGGGGTACAATAAGCATGGGAGGAGTGGGGTTCATGTTACATCGCTTTGGAGTACAGGCTGCGAATGTGGAGGAAATGGAGGTTGTAACAGGATGCGGCAGCACTGTCGTTTGTAATCCCAATCAAAATTGTGATCTCTTTGATTCAGTACGAGCCGGCCTTGGGCAGTGTGATATTATCACTTCTGTTACATTGCCTCTTGTGCCTGCTCCAAAACGAATTGCTCTATTCAAGCTCTTCTATGATGCAAAGGACGCTGATTCCTTTGTGAATGCTATGAAGCGATTCAGTGAACATGAGGAAATTGACAACATTCAAGCTTTTCCAAGCCTTGTACCGTGAGCTCATTAGAAAGCATTTTGGGAGAAGATGTGTTTGCTTTGTCTACTACCAAATTCAAGACTTTGATCAAGGAAGGTGGTGATCTTGTCTTTTATGTTGAGCTTGGATGTTACTTGTCTGCGTCATCACGTTGTAATGACACCATGCAAGACATGAAAGTCACCATTTCTCAAGAAGTGGGGTGTCTCCATGGCGAAATTTTTGTCAGTGACAACAACTTTGCCTAGTATCTATGTCAAGATCCACCTGTTATTGAAACCAATAAGAGCCAAGGACAGCCTGTGCCACACCCTTCATTTGCAACTTTGATGGGTGAAAAGAACGTGGCAACACTGCTGCAGCACCACATTGACTCTGACACTCGTGGCAATGATAATGGGAATGAAATTCTGATTATGCCTGTCAGATCCAACAGTATGCTCAACAATGGATACGATGTACCATTGTTTCCCTAACCCTAACCCTAACTCCAACCCTAACCCCCTATTTCGAAACCAACAGATATCACTGTCTTGCTCATCAAAGGAATCCCCCAGACACACAACCCCGCGTTAAATTGACGCAACCCGCGTCAGTTGACGCGGAATTGGCATTAAACTTACGCAACTCTGCGTCAATCTAACGCAACTCCGCGTCAAACTAACGCAACTCCGCGTCAAACTAACGCAACTCCGCGTCAAACTAACGCAACTCCGCGTCAAACTAACGCAACTCGCGTCATTCCCGCGTAAAAAGAAACATCCCGCGTCAAAGTCGAAGAGCATTTCAACGGACACATAAAAATTATTTAGCTTAAAAAACAAATTCTCAAACCAATCCAAACGGACAGATTTTGGGCGTGTTATGGTGCGTCCCAGTAAAATAGAAGTCTTATTAGCATGGTCGAAAGCGCGTCAAATCGAAAAGTACGCAAAACCTTTCAAAGTGACGTCCCGAATCCTTAAAATGACTCCCATTTGTTAGATGTTACTTCCAATTGTTATCTCCATATTTAAAGTGACTTCCAATTGTTATTTCCAGACTTAAAGTCACTTTGCTATTTCACGGCTCAATTCCCATTTTCAAATCGCAATCACCTTCCAGCATTCTTGTCATCTTTGGGCACAATATCCCGACTTTAGTAAGAATGGCAGAGTGTTAGAGGACCCCAGCCAAGATATAATGATGACACTAATGGTGTAGACGAATCGGACGAGGCACCAGTCAATCATGTGGTCACACCAGAGAGGATGCAGTATCTTGGATTGAAACTGGTGGGGTACAAACGCAAACGTTTACAGAAATGAACGGCACGGGTGAACTTTGAACGTTTCAAGGGATTTTTTGGTTTATCTCCTGTAACCGCTGCCAAGATTTACCATGACATGCAAACAACGCATATTGAAGAAGCCAAAGTAGAGGGCAGTCAAATTGATTTGAGGAATCTCTTGATTGCACTTCATTACTTGTTGAGGTATCCAACAGAAAGGTATGTACGTTGCATGGCTTTTTGCAGCGCCTCGTGTTACTGAATGAACAATTGTCTTGTCACTAGGGACATGGAAGCTCGCTTTGGCTTCAGCATGTACTGGTCAAGAAACCTGGCTTGGGAGTAGATCAAGAGACTTTGAGCTTACCGGTACACAAACTTCATTACATAAATTTCAAACAAGCTACTTCGTTGTATCCAGGCAGAAGTGAAGATTGCTGTCAACCTAGCATAATTGCGAACGGCTGTCGATTGCAAAGCTACAGCTTCCGATCACATGTCCAATCACCTGTATGCCTTTTTGCCGCATCCTCTAAAAGGCTAGAAACGACGCCTTTTTTGCCACAACCAAGGACAAAGACTGTCGATTCAATCGTGAATGTGTACTTTACATATAACACTGACCGCAATCAAACGAACCCACCCTTTGCTTCAAGCTGGTTTCTTGTTGGTTAGCGGTGTGACCCTCAGTGTTCAGCCAGTTCGCAATGAGGACGCCGCTAAGAAGTGCTAACAACACAGCTACATGATGATAGCTAGCAGCGTCGTTCTATAAGATTACTAATACATTTCATACAACAAACTTTTTGTCATCTGCTAGAAGCTCCGTTCATGCTCAAACAATATGTCATCAACTACTAAAATAGGATTTGAGTTTATTCTTTGTACTGGAGAGTAGAAAACAAGTTGAATGTAGCATTTTCAGCCGCAGCCGATTAAAAGGAGTCGCGCCTTAAAGTGATTCCAATTGTGATGTTGCACCTTAAAGTGATGTCCTATTGTGACGTCAATCCTTAACCGTTTTCTGATCAGAGGCTGATTCGAGGCTGATTTTAAAAAGACGTAGGATATATACTAGCTCTACGTAAAAAACAAATATTTTGCCAGTATCGCCAAAATTACCCAATATTAGTTGATCGAGTTCGGTGATATGAAGGCATTGTCGATAATCAGACAAAGGCCCATCACTAAATACAATAGATAAAGAAGCACTTTCCTAAAAGTGGAATTATTTTGTTGGACCACTACCACATCTACGATATTATGTTTCCCAGCAGTCAAAACTTGTGTAGGACTGTGTAGGACCAGTACCAGGAAAAACTAAGAAATGCCTTTTGTGAAATGTCAAAATCTCATAGCGCCTTCTGACAACGATTTCCACTTACGGAGGCTTATTGTACCCTTTCTATGATATAAAAGAGTTTCTGCTATGTGTTCAGTTCTTTGGTGGCCATATTTGGTAAAGGGCATTTAGAGTTTACAATTGTGGTCGGTGGAGTCAATTTTATGTAGATTTTGTACCATATCCACGTGTTTGGGTTTTGTGCAGCTCGGTCAGGAAACGGTTAAAGTGATGTCGATAATTGTTAATGTGTGTCGCCAAACACTAAAGTGTTTCCCATTGTGAAAAAAGATTAGTCGTGTTTGATCAAATACGTTACCGCAAGAAGAGTGATATTCTCCCATCAAATAAAAGGGGATTACGGGTGACGGGAGAACGTGTGCAAGTTTTGTGCTGAGATGGCTGGCGCGCAAACACACAACAGTTTGGGGTGTTCCAGGTATCAAAATGTGGAAGTAAGTGCCTATCAAAGCTCTAGAACGAATATATGCATATATATATGACCCCGATCCACGAAAAACCCCCCCTTCCCATACCCACTTTCGGGCTTTTCTAAAAAAATATCACCATAGAAATTTAAAATGGTCATTTTTTAAAGCCGTAGCAATCTAACGCCGATTAGACGGTTCAACGTGCATTCTTTCGAGGATTTTAGCCCTATGCTCGAAAGTAAGTTGCGACAATTTTTGATCTTGTGAGGACGAATTTACTGAATTCACATCACCACTCACAATGGGAAGATGATTGACGGCGAAAACGGAAGCCAAAGAAGGTAACTACGCCGTCTGCTACACATGAGGCATCTACAATACGTGTTCCACCAGATCGATTGTTCATTTGCATTCCTGCAAGGTCAGAGAAGTGGTGGGATAGCTGCTATCGAGAAAATGAAACAAGCTACTACAGAAGAGGCTCGAAACGACGCGACCAAACAGTGACAATTGAAGGATTCCTCATCCCTTCCCTTCCTTTCCTTTGTCCCCAAGGTCTAAGGTCTGTTGATTGTTATGTTGGAGAGCTACTATGGTTTCGTTTTGCAGTGGCAGTTGCTGATGGCAATCGATGAAGATGTTGATGAGAATGGCGAAGAGAGTGGGATGAATTAAATAAGACAAAGAGTCGTAGTTAATGTAGTATATGCTTGGATGTAGGTAATAGGCCAGCTTTGTTACGTATTCCCTCAGTAATGTACATGGTAACAAAGGTGATGTCTGGGATGCCATTTTGGTTCCATATTTTGGTTCTACAAAAAATTCTACGAGGCGCTTGGTAAAATTTGCGCGCGAACAGGGTATTTTCCGTACGTCATCAGTCTCCAAACCCATGGCGCACCTCAATGCGCTCGCCCGTGGAGAATTCTTTAATCACATCAATTTTCCCTTCCATCGGCAATGGTGAGCCTCAAGGCCGAGGAAAGCATCACCCTCTGGAGGAAAACTCGTGGGTCGCGGACATTCTCTGCATCGTGACCGTATCCATCTTGTTAGTATGAAGCGATATGGATGCATTTGCCCCTTTCACCTCTGAAATCACTGCTAAAGAACCTCAACAACGTCTGAAAACTACTTTTGGAGAGGTTTTGGGACGTCTACGAAGTCCCAAGGCAACAGAGAGCTAGAATTTTCTGCGGAAGTTGCTTCTCTTATTATACTAAAGGCAATGCCATCATTTGATGTGCATTATCTGGGTTCCTACACGACGATTTTCAGCAGAGACCATTGAGTTGCAAATTTGCCGGTCACAATGAAATTGCACGGCCTGGACCCCATGAGTAGAGAAAGTGGAATCAGAGGTTGTGGCAAGCATAGTTGATATATTTGTTACGTTGGGAGCGGCGGTAATTATGTTGAATACCTTTGGCTGGGTCGCAATCACACAATAATCCACCATGATTGGTTCCGTTGGTTGCTTTGACTGGACGGATAGGTGTCAAGAAGACGTATTTGCCAAATGCGGCTCATATCTACCGTCACCATCAAGACAATATCTACACGGAGACTCGTTTGCAGTGTCGAACTACCAAAATTGACGATTTGGAGCACATCAAGGTGCCATGGTGCGATTATTCCCCTTGTTTGGACAAGCCAGTGTGGACGCCCAGACAAGTAAAAACCGACGAACATGTTGTGGCAAGCGTATTTGATAGATAGACTATGGCTGGAGCGGCAATTCATAGTTCCAATCGCCTCAATTACACTACAATCTACCCTTCGGCTGGTTCTGTTGGGTTGCAGAAACTGGTCGGCAGAAAGTCAAGAGGGCCAATGCCTCACATTCAACATGTGCTGGAAAGCTCGGCAGTGATCATACCTACTCGGGGATCCACTCGGTTGTGTTTTGTTTGGAATACTTGCTGAGATATTGGAATTCCAGTGTTTTGTGCTGTCTGTTCCCCTTTCAGCATGAAGGTCGACGTGGCCGCCCTGGAGATAGCCATCCACTCAACAATACACCAGAGCCTCCCTTGGATGCCTATTGTTTAAATTTTCTGGGATCCAGGCAATGGTTCGCCTAGATTAAGAATCATGCCGCCCAAACGTGGTCAGAAATCATGGAAATCTGGTCCAAAAAGCCACTTAGTGGTGGTGTGGGCTGAATTTCCTAAAAACGACTTGTTCTAACACATATTTGTCTTCCATGGGTATGTATGAGAAGATTGGTGACTTTGGAGCGGACATTTTCTAGGTAAAAGTGATTGAATAGCATTCACACTGCTTTGGGGATCAATCCAGGTTCATGAAAGAATGTGGCTGGAATCCTTCTCAGTAGCCGAGTCGATACCCTGACAAGATGGCACCAAGTTCAAAGTTGGTCAAAATATAAATAGTAATCGAATTTGAGCGGTGGTTTGGAGGGCTATGGCGGAAAAAAGAATCTAGGATAGCATAATTTATATATATATATATATATATATTATATATATATAATCAATCGCGGATTCTGCTTGAAGTTACTCTGCGCGACACTCAAGGGACTCTAGAAGATCTGGTAAATATCAAGTGACTTGGGGCGAGATATGCTGTTAGACAATGACAGATCTTTACTGGATCAACTTGAACTCGCTGAGGCAAGGATTGCTGTAATAGAACAAATGAATCATCGAGGTAGAAGGCAGCACAAGACTGGCACGCGGTCTTGCTACAAAACACTAGAGCTGATAATCTTGATTTCTATGCGCACAATCAGTATCAAACGAATATCAAGAGCCGTATGAATGACATGCACACCTTATCAGTAACTGTCTCATAAGAATGTAACTCCGTCAAACGGTACTTGATGATCTTCAATTGACCGGCGGAACTGGAAACTCATGACGATTAGTCGGACTCCCCTTCGTCTGGATGCTGATGTAGACTAGTGGTGACTGGATCGGTTGCTAGCCTCAAACCTGAGTAAAGACGACGAATGATGCGAAAGAAGAGGTACTACCATTAGACAGTCTTCTGTCGATGACCCAGGCCCTGGATGAGCTGTGGTCACTTGAAAGTCCAAGAAAAATACAATGATAGATTTCACACCAATACAATATTATGTAGACTTTATTATGTAGACTTTAAATGGAAAACCTGATGGTTGTTATTGTACGTTCGTGGCAGTCCTATAATCTTTCCTTTTGGCCAGACTGCGTTTGATCGAACAGTCATGATTGACTCTACTGCATCCAAGATCGTCCTCCATACTCTTCCATCGCTAGGAGAGATTTTGCCATTGTTGTCCTGCTCCCAATATGCCCACTCCAAAATAGAATTCGCCGGATCATCAAATTTTCTTTGATCCAGCAGTTGAATGGATCTCATAAATGTTGTTGGGACCATGCTTTGCCATGCATGTTTGTGCCTTTTTCCAGCACCATGTCTTGGGGTTATCCAAAGCAGACTTCACACTCACAATTATCTATACCTCACTGACATACCAGTTGCCAACTTGTCTATTTATTCTCTACAAAGTCCACAACGTATCCATTTCCCTAGTCATATGTGCCTTCACCCCTCTTATTTTGGAATGAATTGTCGTATTTGATCCAGCATTCCAAGGAAACCAGTAATAGAGCTAGCAGAATAGTTCCTCATTTTCGATTTCGTTTCCTACCATGCCCATGCAGTGTCATAGTGGAATGACGCAGGTCGGTGAAAATGCCAGAGCCACGCACAGTCGGCTTGCGTTGATGCTAACCAAAGGCAGCCATGATTTATAGTAGCGGTTTAGTGACTTGGGAGCAGGTTGTTGAATGGTGACATCTAGTTGATGAAGGAGTCTGAAGGAATAAGTCCAGCATGCTGCTTCGACAATTCGTCCAATAAGTCAATAGTTGTCGCTGCAGTCTTTTATTAATGTATTCCAGTGTGTTTTCAAGTTTGACCGACACCACGAGCACGGACGATAACGGACAGCCAATGCATAGAGATCTCGTATGTCCGTTGAGCGTGTCCGAGAGTTATTTCAAAAAGTTTGAAGGTACCAGGTACCGTACCGGTACCTGGTACACGTACCGTACTACGTGAGTGATTGAGTCGTTCACAAATTCAAAATGATATTTCGGATTTGAGGGATTGCAATGATGATTGATCCTGACTGACAGCTATTCTATTGACAACAGATCACTAGAATCATCCTATCGTGTTTCTACAAAGATTTATGGCAAAGTTCCTGGATCTTCCTTGGCGTTTTTGTCATTTCTTGATTCCTCGTTGGAAGATGATGCAGTTGTCATTGTGATGTAATCGCCATCTTCTGTGCTTCCAAGTTCCGATGCCAAGCCGACTCTATCCAACGATTCATTGGCGGCACGGTTCCGCAAGTACAGGACTGCTTGGAAACTGAGCGGTTCAGAAGGAAGAACGAATGGGTTAGTTGTGATGAAACATTGGAGCACTTACAGTATTCCAATGATATTACAGTACGACGAGATAAGTGAGTACTTACACTGACTCAAGGGCCAAGAAGATAATTCCAAAGCTTGTATCAAGGACTTGTGCAAAATAGTACTGCCAACCGCGGGATACCTCAACATCCCAAGACATGTAGTCTTCATTGAAGGTGAGCTCTTGTTTGAGACCAGTACTCGAAATCAGGGCAATGAGCAAACCGATCATGGAACGAATGAGTCCCCATGTGAAGAGAATGCAAAAGATATATACTCGATGACCACTTGAGATTTCGAAGGATCTGGAAAGTGCCTGCAGCCCCCCTTTATTTTCAACCATAATGACTGGATAGGCGTGGTAAAATATGACCTGCAGAAAACCAGTTACAATGCAAACAAGCAGAATTGCAAGTACAAGATAGTCTCGAAGTGCCGCAAGAATGGAGAAACATGGGACAACTGCAATCATTGAAATAAGAATCAATGACCATGCCAGAGACACCACTTTGGTTCCAGCATTTGAGAAACCATTTAGGATCGACGGATACTGTTCCAAGTACAAGTGGGTCGCAAGCCATACACTCGCACCATGAGCAATGCACGAAAAGCAGTAGTAGATGAGCACTTCGATCAAGTACGCAGCCAATTGCCAGTATTGAATGTAGAACGATGAATTATCAGTTTGTGTCTGATTACCGCCTCCAACGTTGACACTGAACTGTGGTTGAATACTGAATCCATCAATCTTCAAGTCGTTTCCCATCAACAGAGCCGTTAAGATTGCAACAATCAACCCAGCGAGGTACACAAGAAGACTAATGGCAAGGAAGTCTTTCCATCTCTTTTGAAAGACGCGAAAAACGTGAAAGACACAGTCAAGTGTACCTCCAAGACCTTGAGGGGTGAAGTCGTCATCCATTTCAACGACTTTTAAAAAGATTATGAGCAAGAAACTTGTATCCTGAGATAATGTGAAATGTGGGAAGGAAATTCAAATGTTTCATACAAATGCGAATCTACAATCATGGATATAATCATGAGCCGCCTGTCATAAATGTCGTTTCTGAAGAGCCACTATCTCCCGACTGAAATACAACGCGGAGATTTTCAATTTGGTGACGAAAATATGTCTCGCGACCCCGAAAACGATCCACTCCCTTCCCCCATATTGTACAGTATAATATCGGTAGAGAATGTGGCAGAAACCGAATTTGGAACAGTATGTTTATTATGCTATTACCAAATGTTATGTGGTGTGGTACCGCACTATCGCCGGTTCCACATGCAAATCCAATTCTATCGGTACCTGGAAACGGCGGATTGCGTGGTCGTTTGTTCGCGAAGAAGCATTGAAGTTTTTTTACGACGCGTTGGCGTTTGTGAGATTTTGTTCGGCATGTATATTCTCCACAATTTCAGAACCCAAGAAAGTAACCCATAAAAAGTAATTCACCATGAGCCCCAACATGAATAACAGCTTTAAAGATGCTTCAGCCACTGCATCACCAAGCAATTACCTGTCCCCTTCAGATTCTTTGATCGACATCCTTTTGGAGGCATCGCGACCGCACGATACTTTGCCAGCACCACCAGCAGAGGAGGACGAACTGGTAGTACCAAGGATGATGATCCCCTTGCTTCCGATGTCCAATCAGAGGATGACCGAGAGAACACAAAACCTCCAAGATACTCTCACGACAGTGATTGGCATTCTGGAAGATACTTCATCGTTTCATCCAAGGCACCGCTGTGCTGTCGTATCCCGCAGATCAGCTTTGCTGAGAAACTACAAGAAGGAGCGCGGATCCAAAGGAGGTCCCACCAAAAAGCAGTAATATGCACGAGCTCCTCTCTGCATACTGTACTTCTATATCCTTATCAATATTTCTCTTTCGGGTAGTTATCACAAGCAGATCAACGTTGCTAAGAAACTACAAACTCACATGATCAGAAGAAGATGGTGGTCACAGCACCACGGCGCCTCTAGAAGAAGTAATATGTGCCAGCTGATCGATGCATATTTTAATACCCTTCCATTATCAATGCTTCTCTTGTACCGGTAGGTAGATACGACAACCTTATAGTCTATTTTTAGAAGTTCTCATCATTCTAGATCTTGGTTCTGTGGTGGTTGCTACTTTGTCTTCTTGTGGTTGCTAGGTTGTTCATTTCCAGCCCAGAGTTCCACATCCGTCTGAATGTTCTTGCACGGCAGGATTTGGGTTGCACAACTGGTGGTACCAGGTACCAGGCTACCAGGTACGGCGCGGCTGATTTTGCAAAAGACAGGGCTTCACACGACACGGCACGTGACAAATACCTAAGGCTGCGAAGGCCAAGCTCTTGCAACCTTGTTCTTCGCTCCTTTTTGACCGGATTGCTCATTGTTTTCTGTTCTATCTTTTCGCATACGTAAAACAGCTTACGCTACTTGGCTTACTCCTCCAACGATGCTTGTTCAAAAGTTTACGATAGGATGTAATATATTGATTTAGTCTTCCAAAGAATTGTGTCCAAACTATGGATTTTTAATCGCGTGGTGGTGCCGTTGGTCGGTTCAAACTGGGGAAGTAATGGGGGGAACTTTGGGCAACACGTCATCGAAATCTGATCTCTGCTGCGTACCAGGTAACAAACGGTACCGGTACCTGGTACTCGTAGGTACATATACTGTACCTACCAAATGAATTTGTAGGTTGAAGGCTTCCCGAAACTGCCGCATCATCGACTGTAATGTGCGTTCCGATTACCACTAACTCAATCTTATTACCACTTTTACGTGCACTTCAAAATGAAACTTATCCAAGCTTTCCTATTCTCTTGCTTTATCTATCATTCTTCGACTGCCTTCAGTCCGAGCCGGCAAGGTTTTGGACATGATGTCTTTGTTCTGAGACACTCTTGGCATGATTCGGATTTCTACAACAGTCAAAGTGACCGGACTCGAAGACCTCTTCACGACAAGGGCAAAGACAACGCATATGATCCCAATCATGAAGAAAAGTTTAGTGCTTCTCTCTACAGGAGGCCGGGATCCGCTACTTATTCGCCACCACCACATGCTGAGCCAATTTCGCATCCACAGCATGCCATTCAGCCTCCTGCTCCTGTTGCACCTACTCAACCAGCTATCCAGCCTACTCCAAACTTTGCCGCAGCTCCAGACTATCAAGCAAATGCAATGCAGCAAAATGTTTTGGCTAGACAAGCAAACGCAATGCAGCAAAATGACGTCGATAGACGACTCGAAAGTGTGGAAAATAGTCTTGAAGAAATCAAATTGACATTGAACTACATTGCTTCGCTGATGGAAAAGAACCAGCAATAAGAAAATCCACGGTTCTAGGCTTTCAATATTGTTATTTTAGGGATGGGGAAAACGGCCAACAAAAGGCATTCATGAGAGACAGTTCCTATTTCGCATGGTCTTTGGTATCATGCTGTAGGAGTAAGTTCCCAGGCTGGCGATTTCTTGACCGTCAGCGACCACTCCGTAAAAGGTAGAACTTGTGGGTCAACTATGAATTGCTGTCTTTTGATGCGGTACCGGTAATCGATGCACTCTATCGGGAAGAATCAGAAGGAGCGGAGCATTTGGTGTTGAAAAGTCAGGAGAATACTAAATAGTAACTCTTTCTCGGGAGAAACGTGATTTGATTCGGTGCTAGCCGTATGTATCACGGAGAAACATCGAATAATCTTGCCGCTTGGTTTACCTTTCATTCCAGTTGACAGCACACAGTGCGGAGTGCCTACAGTAGGTCAGTAGTTGTAACTATTGCAATAGGTGTTATTCATTCTAAGACATACTCCTAGTCAGACATCTTATTTTAAAATACGATGTTGTAGATTTTCAAACCGGTCGCGCATCAAACGCGCAGTCGACTCCAAACCCATCAATAAAAATCTTTGAACAAAATATAATTTCAACTTTTATTATTCGTCTGCGGCTTCATCATCCTCGTGAAGTTGTTGCTGGTGCAATGGGACGTTCGAAACTTAACACATCCCTGAAATCCAACACTCCCATTCCGCTGCCACATGATGGTCCCATCCATGCCGCCTTAAATGATGCCGACCCATCGTCGAGCGACGATTCAGTCCTACAAACCGCAGCATGTCAACTTTGCACTGATGAAAGTGGAAGCAGTGTTGAAGCAAAGCTATGTCAAGACTTGAGAAACGCCAAAACATCAAAAGAGCAAATACAAAGCCTTCAAGCCTACAAAAGTAGCAAACGAAATCCGTCTTCAGGAAAGGAGAACGAACTGAACGTGTCAGAAACTTTGAGTGACGAAAGGACTGCGCTTTATCGCATTTTACTGGAATGGTCGCTGTCAACAGAAACGCCTGTACCGCTGCGTCGAACTACCCAATCGATCATTGCACACGATCGAAGTATTGAGGAGATTTCACGCACAGTTTTAGTTTCGTTTTGGTCATCTACGAGCTGGAAGAATCCGTTGATGTCATTGGAAACAGCACTCAATTCTCCAATCTTGAAGCCAATACTCCAAGATTCGCTACTATATGACTGCCTTGAGTTCCTCTATGCAACGTATATCTCCGAATCATTAGAAGCCAAGGACCTGACATCCGAATCAATAGTCGAAATTGGATCTCGACTGTCTGAAATTCTGAAACTGCTACTCGACAACCACGAGGATCACATCCCGCACCTTGAAGAACAACGTCAATACATTCTGATGTTATTTCAATGTCCTAGTCTTCCGATCGATGTATACAATACACTTGGCATCGTTTATGGTAGACTGCTGTTGTGTTCTGGCGCAGAATCGCTGTCTAAAACGGCCATTGAAGAAGTTTTAAGTATTGACGACACTCATGCAAACCTGTCAGCACTCGCCCGTTTGCAAATTGTCAAAGGCATTGCTGCAAAACTATCGATTGGTATATTGATGAATGTACAAAGTGAAGTCCAGATGTCACCCTTGGATGCCAGCTGGAGGTATATCCTGCGCGTCTGCAGAAGTGCTACTGATCCGATGGTTCGATGGGCAGGGCTCAAGGGACTGTCCTCTTTGTCCAGTCGGTTGCTAGGTCTCAAAGACTCGAACAACTCTCATGCAGAGCTAGTAAATGAAACATTGGATGTGGTGTTGCAGGCTTGGGAACACCCACCATTGAGAAAAATCGGATCCGCAATCCCAAGCTTGTTTGAATCACTTGTCAAGTTGCTTCAAAAGGAAGAGCTTGAAGGTCTCATTTGCAACGTTCTCGAGCAGCCCGTCAATCGCAAGGGAAGATACTTGGCTCTGGACATTTTGCTGCCTTACATGCCACGGAATCAAGTCATCCGACCAGAATCATTGCTTGAGGGTGTCGGAGATCGCGGTTCAAATACTGGAGCCATTTCAGATTTATGGAAGAAGCTGCTACTGCATTTGTGGAGTCAAATAGAGGAAGAATCATCTAGCTCTA